AGTTCCCTATACAGTGCACTACTTTTGACCACAGCCCTATGGGCCACAGGTAAAAATGTGTGAAGTACATAGGGAATAGTGCACCATTTGGGACACAGCCATGGACTTCTATGATCAGGCATCAGGCTAGGTGGGGAGTGGAAAAGCATCGGGAGAGAAAGGAACGTATTTGTTTGGCATGTTTTCTGCTGAGAGCACTTGGTCTCTGACACGGCGTCCCACTGAGTTGCCCTGTAAGGAGCAGATCAACTTTGCTCTCTGAGTCCATACACACACACACACACACACACACACACACGTCTATCAGAATCAAAGACATTGCCCACCCTTATTATATGTAACACCCTCAACCCTCCATGTACCTCCACTAACCCCACACCTAACCCATAATGAAAATCCTACATGATATTCCAGTCATACCTCATAATAATCACATAGGGTACAGGGTCAAAGGTCAAGAGGGAGACTGGCCTGCATGAGATCAGTCCAAGATAATCCCTAAAGAGAGATGTTCACTTCTGGCTAATATGAAGGTACACTGCTACAGCCCAAATGACCTGTTGGACATACTGTATGTACAGACTAGAGAGAAGGATTGTTGTTAGAGTTGGTGGGGCTTGGAGGCCAGGGATTTTCTTTGTCCTGTAGGACTCATATCTAAGACATTATTCTGCTCTCTGGTGCGAGTGAAGGAGGAATGCTCACTATGTGGGATGAGCACACTGAACAGTCTCCTCAGCACAGGGCCAGTCTCAGGGCAGACAGACACAGACACACACAGACAAACAAACAAACACACACACACACACACACACACACACACACACACACACACACACAGTGAGTTGTGATAAACTGATTACAATGTCGCGGTCGCAGACACAGAGACAGACACACAGACACAAGACACACAAAGCAAGTTAGCAATACCTTCCACTCCTAACTTCATCATTAGTAGGCTACTGTATGTAAGGTAGTGAGGAAGGGTAGAGAAAATCAACATTCCTTGGCTGTCATACAGTAGTTTTAAGAGAGTGCCCTACAGGGTGTGTGCTTGCCCCCTACCTCTCCTTGCCCCCTACCTCTCCATGCCCCCTACCTCTCCACGCCCCCTACCTCTCCTTGCCCCCTACCTATCCTTGCCCCCTACCTCTCCATGCCCCCTACCTCTCCATGCCCCCTACCTCTCCACGCCCCCTACCTGTCCATGCCCCCTACCTCTCCACGCCCCCTACCTCTCCATGCCCCCTACCTCTCCACGCCCCCTACCTCTCCTTGCCCCCTACCTCTCCATGCCCCCTACCTCTCCTTGCCCCCTACCTCTCCATGCCCCCTACCTCTCCACGCCCCCTACCTGTCCATGCCCCCTACCTCTCCTTGCCCCCTACCTCTCCATGCCCCCTACCTCTCCACGCCCCCTACCTGTCCATGCCCCCTACCTCTCCACGCCCCCTACCTCTCCACGCCCCCTACCTGTCCATGCCCCCTACCTCTCCATGCCCCCTACCTCTCCACGCCCCCTACCTGTCCATGCCCCCTACCTCTCCACGCCCCCTACCTCTCCACGCCCCCTACCTGTCCATGCCCCCTACCTCTCCACGCCCCCTACCTGTCCATGCCCCTGTCCCATTCCACCTGTTGCTCCTGTGGAAAACTTACTCTGTCCCTTGCCCTGCGAGAGGACGGACTATCACACACACACCACTCTAAGTCTACACAGTTTATCCACTCACTCCACTACAAAACCAAACACTGTGTGTATGTGTGTGTGTGTGTGTGTGTGTGTGTGTACCAATCGTCTATCACTGCCCACACACACACACACACACACACACGCCAGGTAGCAGTGGTTGGATTAGTGACTCAAAAACAACATACCAAGTATCATGAACCAAGCAAAAATACAATTATGCTTGAAAATGTGGACATTCTAAGACTATATAAAAACGTTAGCCTGATATACAGTAAATACATTTACATTACATTTTAGCAGACTCTCTGGATTACAGGAGCAATTAGGGTTGATTGCATTGCTCATGGGCACATTGACAGATTTCTCACCAAGTCAGCTCGGGGATTAGAACCAGCAACCTTTCGTTTACTGGCACAACGCTCTTAAACACTAAGCTACCTGCCGCCCATTTTGCTTGGACACAGATACAATACACAGTAAACCACATTTTGTTTATGTAACAGGGATTCTGTAAATATACGGTATGTGGACTTTTCACACATTATATTAACATGTATGATCATGGGAACTAACGTCATAGGCCTATATCAAATAAAAAAACGAATAATAAAACGAATACCAATACTAATAGCCTAATCATAATAACCATAATTATAATAAAGCACGTTCAATTGTTTTCATCTCTAAATATATTTATTGAAGATAATATATCTCATGTATATATGACTAGTAATAACTGTAGTTATTATTAGTAGTAGTAATTCGTAGTAATAGAGTTATTATTAATAGGCTGGTATTTTATTTTATTTATTTTATGGCACAAAAAACTCCAAAAAACAATTCACATACATGTGGCTATTATTTTGGAAACATTCTCTGACATTCTGACAAGTGACATTCTCTAAAATGATGCAATTGAAATAGCTATTTTGTAAACATATTAGTAGCCTCACCCAGACGAGCGCTAATGTTTAACTGCGTGCCTCTGACGTTATTAGTTTCCTTTAAAAAGTTCCGGCCGAAACGCAGGAAGTAGTGCAGTGATAAAAATGTGGGAATTCGACAACAAAAAAATGTCAGAAATGTAAAGAATGTTTACCTCATACAGTGAATGAGAGCGTTTTACAAACAACGTCACAGGCAGACAACTGTACATAGAATACAACTGACCAGTCTAACGCTGATACAGCAAGTTTGGTCACCCACAACTTATTGCTTTTAAACGAACACTGATGTATGTTCACTTACAAAACAAATAGACAGATTGAATATTTTGTAAACTTACCTGTTGAAAGTCAAGCAACAGACAACACCGGTGGGTCAGGCAGGGAAGTGGAATTTTTGGGGCAGATTTCTGTGAAGCAATATCAGTATTTGTGCCCCCTTTGAAGCGCTATGGAGGGCTGGAATTTCAGGAATTAGCTGTGGTATGACACGAAGTCTGGAAGGCAGAGAAAAAGACCAGGGGAAAGAGGGAGGCAGGACCGACCGGTCAACACGTAATGAGGGAGGGGGATTCGAGGGGAGGGCCAGTGCTCCGAAAAGCAAAAGAAAGCCTCGGTGAGGGAAAAAGGAAATCACATCAAGAAAAACGTGTGGGTTATCATTGCCTCTGTAAGGAGAGACACAAACACACAAAGGGACAAAGCTATTGCGAAACCTTATCAGCCCTCTTATAATTATCTGAAGTTGTGAAGTAACCCTAAAATAAAGATAAAAATACCCCTATTGGCTATTTTCTTTGTTTATATGGCACTATTCGAATAATAAATGGGATAAATAGTACAAATTACTAGTGATTTACCTATAAATAGGCTGTGTACTTTAAAAAAAATTGTAATGACCGTTGGCAAAATATGTTGATATAGTTCGTTTAGAATAATGATTTTTCGTTCGATATCATTAGTCATTTAGTTATAGCAAACGAGGAAAATCGATTGTGCAATTCATCTTTACAGAAAGCATAATAAGGTGAGCACTGACTGTTGAGTGGACTATGAACAACTGGGGCCTGTCAGGTTTGAATTAAATAGGTAATAGAGCGCCCTCCAGTGGATAATGTAGCTAACAGGTAAGGTTTCAGTTGTGCATTGTACAGTTCCATCTGAAATCAAGTCAGATGGAACCTTTTGCATGTCTGTTAAAAATGAAAACAATTATGTGAGCTATAAAACACATAACATATTTGAATAAGCAGCTTATAACATTGTGATAGCTGTTTGTCTATAACATCCTCTGCAAGATCAAACACAATCGAATAAACTTGTATTTCTTAATTTAAAATAATACAGTTTCATTGCATTTTCAAATCAAGTTTATGGTGAAACTAGTGGTGTTTTAGATAGACATATATTGATTGGTCGTACATACTGAACATATTTTTCTACAACATCAAGTCCATCTTAAACACGCCACTTTTCATGAGATCTGATTTCACACTTCTCTCACTCAATACATGTTTGCCTTCAACCAGGAATTATTTTCTGATCATTCACCTCTCCTTTTCCTCTTTTTGGCATACACCCAGTCCAATCCATAGTTCACTCTCCTATCACAGTGGTACATTTCCTCAATAGTAACCTAGAGTGCTCTACAATCCATCGTCTGATCAGACTACATAAAGTACATCACAAACTACAGGAGATTTTTTTGCTTTCATTTGAAGGAGAAAAAAAAGGAAGAGATAAAGTTATTATAGAAAGTATACAGTATAAATTAACGTATAAGCCTCCTGTTAACAAAGAAGTTGTACATTTTTTTTTAAAGAGTATAGAAATATGTGGAATGTACTGTACAACATGGAATTGTTCTTAAGCCGCCCAGCAACATCCTTAATTATGTTCTCATTGGTGCCTTTTGGGATCGAGGGTGGAGTCAGTCATTCCTAAGTGACATAGAGGGAGGACACTTTATATACCAACCCTAGGAAGGGAAATGGGCTGTGCTATACAGTACATCAATGTACACTATAAAGACTGACCGCTTTGCAAAAGTAAGCTTTCAACAACAGAGGCAACGGAAAGACACTCAGTAACCTCAATGGAGAACGATGTTCCTTGATGGGTCTGTGTCTTCAGGCTAGGACAATATTAATGTTTTTGGTCCGATTCCTATACCCCTCCAAAGTCCTTCACGTTCAGTCCAAATATTGCCGGGAGTGTTCGGTCCTTGACCAGTATGTGTCAATAAGCTTGTGGACAAACACAATCCCCTACTCCATGCTATCCACAGGGAGTTTGGGTCCTTGGTTTGTTCTCTACCTCTCTTGAACATGCTCTCTCTCATGGAGTTCCTTCCCGAGGCATCATTTCTTGGACAGGAATTTCATCTTATTCCCTGAAAATGAAAACAGGCAACAAAATCACGGATCAAAATAACATTGGTGTGAGAGACAAGTTCTGGCAACCTTTTCATACATTGAGGAGGAATATAGTTTCACTAATGTAACACAATTTACAATGACAATTGAATCAGAAACTACTATGCAGAGTGACTTGGGATATGATCTATGTAGGTACTAGAGTGAACAGGGTGTATGGGAGAGGATTTGGGCCTCACCTAGACCCTTGAGGAACTTGTTGACCCCACGTTGCTCGCTCCCTGGGAGAGAGTCCAGGTAGTCTTGTGACCGCACCTCAAACAGACCTGGTCACACAACAACAACAACAGTAGAATGATGAGAACACATACACTACCAGTCAAAAGTTTTAGAACAGCTACTCATTCAAGGGTTTGTCTTTATTTTTACTATTTTCTACATTGTAGAATAATAGTGAAGACATCAAAACTATGAAATAACACATATGGAATCATGTAGTAACCAAAAAAGTGTTACACTAATCAAAATACATTTTGTATTTGAGATTCTTCAAATAGCCACCCTTCGCCTTGATGACAGCTTTGCAAACGCTTGGCATTCTCTCAACCAGCTTCACCTGGAATGCTTTTCCAACAGTCTTGAAGGAGTTCCCACATACGCTGAGCACTTGTTGGCTGCTTTTCCTTCACTATGCGGTCCGACATATCCCAAACCATCTCAATTTGGTTGAGGTCGGGGGATTGTTGAGGCCAGGTCATCTGATGAAGCACTCCATCACTCTCCTTCTTGGTAAAATAGCCCTTACACAGCCTGGAGATGTGTTGGGCCTTTGTCCTGTTGAAAAACAAATGACAGTCCCACTAAGCCCAAACCAGATGGGATGGCGTATCGCTGCAGAATGCTGTGGTAGCCATGCTGGTTAAGTGTGCCTTGAATTCTAAATAAATCTCAGACAGTGTCACCAGCAAAGCACACACCATAACACCTCTTCCTCCATGCTTTACGGTGGGAAATACACATGCGGAGATCATCCGTTCACCCACACCGCGTCTCACAAAGACATGGTGGTTGGAACCAAAAATCTCAAATTTGGACTCCAGACTGAAGGACAAATTTCCACTGGTCTAATGACCATTGCTCGTGTTTCTTGGCCCAAGCAAGTCTCTTTCTTCTTATTGGTGTCATTTAGTAGTGGTGTCATTTAGTAGTGGTTTCTTTGCAGCAATTCGACCATGAAGGCCTGATTCACACAGTCCCTTCTGAACAGTTGATGTTGAGATGTGTCTGTTACTTGAACACTGTGAAGCATTTATTTGGGCTGCAATTTCTGAGGCTGGTAACTCTAATGAACTTATCCTCTGCAGCAGAGGTAACTCTGGGTCTTCCATTCCTGTGGCGGTCCTCATGAGAGCCAGTTTCATCATAGCGCTTGATGTTTTTTGCAACTGCACTTGAAGAAACGTTCAAATTCTTGAAATGTTCCATATTGACTGACCTTCATGTCTTAAAGTAATGATGGACTGTCGTTCCTCTTTGCTTATTTGAGCTGTTCTTGCCATAATATGGACTTGGTCTTTTACCAAATAGGTCTATCTTCTGTATACCCCCCGGGCTACCTTGTCACAAAACAACTGATTGGCTCAAATGCATTAAGAAGGAAAGAAATTCCACAAATTAACTTTTAAGAAGGCACATCTGTTAATTGAAATGCATTCCAGGTGACTATCTCATGAAGCTGGTTGAGAGAATGCCAAGAGTGTGCAAAGCGGTCATCAAGGCAAAGGGTGGCTTGATATAAAATATATTTTGATTTGTTTAACACTTGTTTGGTTACTACATGATTCCATATGTGTTAGTTCATAGTTTTGATGTCTTCACTATTATTCTACAATGTAGAAAATAGTAAAAATAAAGACAACTCCTTGAATGAGTAGCTGTTCTAAAACATTTGACCGGTAGTGTACATAAAACTGTTAGACAATTGTGCAAAATTGTCATATAATTATGCATTTCAGACACTTACAGATTCCAAAAGCAGACTTATCTTATGGTGGTGCCAATAACCAGGTACTGTACCCCCTCTCTCAGTACCTCTTAGACCCTGCCTGGCTGTACCCCCTCTCTCCGTACCTCTTAGACCCTGCCTGGCTGTACCCCCTCTCTCAGTACCTCTTAGACCCTGCCTGGCTGTACCCCCTCTCTCAGTACCTCTTAGACCCTGCCTGGCTGTACCCCCTCTCTCCGTACCTCTTAGACCCTGCCTGGCTGTACCCCCTCTCTCAGTACCTCTTAGACCCTGCCTGGCTGTACCCCCTCTCTCAGTACCTCTTAGACCCTGCCTGGCTGTACCCCCTCTCTCAGTACCTCTTAGACCCTGCCTGGCTGTACCCCCTCTCTCAGTACCTCTTAGACCCTGCCTGGCTGTACCCCCTCTCTCCGTACCTCTTAGACCCTGCCTGGCTGTACCCCCTCTCTCAGTACCTCTTAGACCTTGCCTGGCTGTACCCCCTCTCTCCGTACCTCTTAGACCCTGCCTGGCTGTACCCCCTCTCTCCGTACCTCTTAGACCCTGCCTGCGCTGTACCCCCTCTCTCCGTACCTCTTAGACCCTGCCTGGCTGTACCCCCTCTCTCCGTACCTCTTAGACCCTGCCTGGCTGTACCCCCTCTCTCCGTACCTCTTAGACCCTGCCTGGCTGTACCCCCTCTCTCCGTACCTCTTAGACCCTGCCTGCGCTGTTCCCTCTCTGCGACAAACCCAGCGAACATCTGGGTCTCCATGAAGACCTCCAGGAACCTCTTCAGACTCTTTGAGGTGACGGCCTTGCGAAAGGCCTCGCGCTGAAAGTAGGACGGGGTGGGGGAGGAGGGGGCTCCAGACTCATCCTCTCGATCCCCCCCGCCCATGAAGAGAGGGTAGTGGCCCACCATTTCTACGAAGAAACGTACAAAGGCCTCCGACACCACGGTACTGAGGGAGCTTGAGTCTGGGGAGGGAAGGCGGGGGGAGAGAGAGAGAGGAGAGAGAGAAAGAGGGCGTTTCGACATGGAGGTCATATGCTTAAATAATAAAAATATCAGTAGTCACATAGACCTTTGTCAAGGCTGTATCGGTCACAACAAGACCCTTCTGTGAGAGGTGTTAATAAGTAGCACTGACTCACCGGTGGGCATCTCACTGGCCAGTTCCTTCCTCTTGTCCAGAACATGTTCCAGAGCAGCCTGCAGCTTGTGAGGCAGAATAGAGTCCTCGTCCTCCAGCTGGAGAGGAAAGACAGAGGTGTGAGAGGAAATGATGACTGTGTCCCATGAGCACAGAGGTGTTGCTACATCTATGGGTGTAGCCAACTGTGTAAGAGATATACAGTATGTTGTTGGTCTGTTGCTATGGGTACTGTTGTTAGAAGTGTATACCTGTCTGAGGAAGCGGCTGTTGCCGAGGTCGACCACCAGGACCTAAGGAGAGAGCAGAAGGCAGGGTGATGTCATTTCCTGTCAGTTTGGCAGCCTCAGCTCTTTCTCAGAGTAGAGCCACAGAGACCATTGTTTTATGGAAAGAGTTGAGGTCAGGGGTTTGCACGCACACACACACACAGTCAGCTGGGCTCGGGGGCCTGGTCTCACCTCCTCTATGGGCAGCTCTTTGAGGCTGGGCAGGGAGCTGGATAGCAGACCCACAATGAAGGGTGTGGGGGTACACACTATGTCCAGCATGGCAGGTGGCAACACGGGGATGTAGGTGTGCTGCCAGGTGAAAGGGTAGAGTAGAGCCACCACCGCATGGCAGCACTGAGACAGAGTACTGCAGAGAGAGGAAAGAGAGGAAAGAGAGAGAGCAGGAGAGTGAGGGAGAGAGATTACTATTGTTTCTCAAACACATTTCTCATTTGTAATATTTCATATATATTGCTTTGGCAACAGTGGCAACCACCCATTCATGCAAATAAAGCAGTTGTTGAATTGAGAGAGAGAGAGAGAGAGAGACAGCGAGAGAGATATGGGAGATGTATATAGGGAAAGAGAGAGAAAACAGGGTGTCAACTACTAAAATCGAGTCAAATCATATAACCGCAGCATGTCTCCAATGTAGTTCCCGTTTCTACCACAAGATGGTGTTAGCGGATTTGACTGTGATTACACAATACTTATTTTGGAACATAAAACTGAACATTGCATTTTTAAAGAATGGCTTTAATGTTTGAGGAATTGTAAAGGAATCTTTTTAAGGGAGCGTGATTTAACACTATGAAATATATACTGTGGGAGCAAATGAACTAACCCCACACTGTTATCTTAATGCCTCCAATATGTGTGTCTGTTTTCATTTAATTCATTCAAAAACAATCAGTGATTGCGAGGCCAGGTTTGCATTCGTTTCAATGCAACAGTAGAAAAATGTCACAGTGGAACAACACACAATCTATTGTGGATTCACAGGCTTTTCCAGTGGGCTTTTAAAAAGCAATGAAGTAGCACACTCTACACAGAGTAATGTACTGTATATCCAAGAAAGCCCACAGTATACAGCATGTCAAGAAAGCCCACAGTATACAGCATGTCAAGAAAGCCCACAGTATACAGCATGTCAAGAAAGCCCACAGTATACAGCATGTCAAGAAAGCCCACAATATACAGCATGTCAAGAAAGCCCACAGTATACAGCATGTCAAGAAAGACCACAGTATTCAGCATGTCAAGAAAGACCACAGTATTCAGCATGTCAAGAAAGACCACAGTATTCAGCATGTCAAGAAAGACCACAGTATTCAGCATGTCAAGAAAGACCAGCGAAGCAGCTCAAGGGTTTATCTCAAGGCACCCATCAATAGCAGGTGATTAGTGGATGCTAGTACGTCAAATCGGTTGCACACACGCCAGTCTTACAGCTTAACTTTCTACACTAACCCTGTCTCTGGCTTCCATGACATATTTCCAGAGAGAAATTATTGTTCCCTAGACGACTGTATAACACAACAGCATTCCTTCCTTAACACACTCTGTCTCTCTTTCTCTCGTCCAGAAGCCGTCTGACTGTCTGTCTCGTGTGTCCGTCAGTCCATCTGTCTGTCTGTCTGTCTTGTGTGTCTCTGTCATATCCTTTTCACTGTCCTCTGCCTCTCACCTGATCCCACCTCACAGGTCCCAAGTCAGTAGAGGAGTAGCTAGAGAAGAACTAAGGTTGACTGATCCATAGCCCAGTCATAAACCCCTAGCCCCTATCCCCATCCCAATAGCCCCCAGACTTTTCAGTTTTTGAAGATTTGAATGAACTGGATAGGTGTAAGCTACTGTATATGGTAATAGCTCCTCCTCATATTGGGACTAGAGAAAGGGTCTAGGGGGAGAGGGAAGGGGCAAGGGGTTGTTTTTGGACAGTGTCCCACCTGAGTTTGTCAGCGGTGAAGATGACCCTGCGCTCCAGCAGCAGAGAGGCGAAGACTCTGAGGAGCAGACGCAGCGACAGAGAGGAAAACAGACACTCAAAGTCTACATGCTCCAGACGAGAGTCAGACGGACGACACAACTCTATCACCTGGGACAGACGGAGAGGGAGAGAGAGAGAAAGAAAGAGAGAGAGAGGAAAAGAGGGAGAGAGGGAAAGGGAGGGAGAGAGGGATGAAGAGAGAGAGAGAGAGGGAGGGACAGAGGGAGGGACAGAGAGAGGTCGAGAGAGGGGGAAGGGAGGGAGAGAGAGATGGATGGATGGATGGATGGAGAGAGAGCGAGAGAGGGAGGGAAAGAGAGAGGGACGGAGAGAGAGAGAGGGATGGAGAACGAGAGAGAGATCTATTTAAACACCCTACACACATCTAGACAGTATTCGTAAACACACACAGGGTTAAGCACCAAATACACATACATAGCCAAAGTGACATACTAACTAGATAAAAAAGACCTCAAGTCAATTATGTTTTGAATACAGTAAAGTGACATGGCCAGTTGAGGTCTGTGCTCTAGCCCCCCAACCCTGCTGTGCACAGCTATTCCCCCTCACCTCAGTGCCTGAGCCAGGCAGGAAGTTCTTGACAGTGATGGTTCTTCCCGGGGCGGGGAATGGAGCCTCCATGATGCCCCTCATGAAGGGCTGCACCAGGGCTGGAGAGATGGCCCTCCTCTTCTCCACCTCATCCAGGATCTGTGGAGTCAGACACAACATACAGTGGGGAAAAAAAGTATTTAGTCAGCCACCAATTGTGCAAGTTCTCCCACTTAAAAAGATGAGAGAGGCCTGTAATTTTCATCATAGGTACACGTGAACTATGACAGACAAAATGAGAAAAAAAGAATCCAGAAAATCACATTGTAGGATTTTTAATGAATTTATTTGCAAATTATGGTGGAAAATAAGTATTTGGTCAATAACAAAAGTTTCTCAATACTTTGTTATATACCCTTTGTTGGCAATGACACAGGTCAAACTTTTTCTGTAAGTCTTCACAAGGTTTTCACACACTGTTGCTGGTATTTTGGCCCATTCCTCCATAAAGATATCCTCTAGAGCAGTGATGTTTTGGGGCTGTCGCTGGGCAACACGGACTTTCAACTCCCTCCAAAGATTTTCTATGGGGTTGAGATCTGGAGACTGGCTAGGCCACTCCAGGACCTTGAAATGCTTCTTACGAAGCCACTCCTTCGTTGCCCGGGCGGTGTGTTTGGGATCATTGTCATGCTGAAAGACCCAGCCACGTTTCATCTTCAATACCCTTGCTGATGGAAGGAGGTTTTCACTCAAAATCTCACGATACATGGCCCCATTCATTCTTTCCTTTACACGGATCAGTCGTCCTGGTCCCTTTGCAGAAAAACAGCCCCAAAGCATGATGTTTCCATCCCCATGCTTCACAGTAGGTATTACATTTACATTTTAGTCATTTAGCAGACGCTCTTATCCAGAGCGACTTACAGTTAGTGAGTGCATATGGTGTTCTTTGGATGCAACTCAGCATTCTTTGTCCTCCAAACACGACGAGTTGAGTTTTTACCAAAAGTTATATTTTGGTTTCATCTGACCATATGACATTCTCCCAATCCTCTTCTGGATCATCCAAATGCACTCTAGCAAACTTCAGACAGGCCTGGACATGTACTGGCTTAAGCAGGGGGACACATCTCGCACTGCAGGATTTGAGTCCCTGGCGGCATGGTGTGTTACTGATGGTAGGCTTTGTTACTTTGGTCCCAGCTCTCTGCAGGTCATTCACTAGGTCCCCCTGTGTGGTTCTGGGATTTTTGCTCACCGTTCTTGTGATCATTTTGACCCCACGGGGTGAGATCTTGCGTGGAGCCCCAGATCGAGGGAGATTATCAGTGGTCTTGTATGTCTTCCATTTCCTAATAATTGCTCCCACAGTTGATTTCTTCAAACCAAGCTGCTTACCTATTGCAGATTCAGTCTTCCCAGCCTGGTGCAGGTCTACAATTTTGTTTCTGGTGTCCTTTGACAGCTCTTTGGTCTTGGCCATAGTGGAGTTTGGAGTGTGACTGTTTGAGGTTGTGGACAGGTGTCTTTTATACTGATAACAAGTTCAAACAGGTGCCATTAATACAGGTAACGAGTGGAGGACAGAGGAGCCTCTTAAAGAAGAAGTTACAGGTCTTTGAGAAATCTTGCTTGTTTGTAGGTGACCAAATACTTATTTTCCACCATAATTTCCACAAATAAATTCATTAAAAATCCTACAATGTGATTTTCTGGAAAAAAAATTCTCATTTTGTCTGTCATAGTTGACGTGTACCTATGATGAAAATTACAGGCCTCTCTCATCTTTTTAAGTGGGAGAACTTGCACAATTGGTGGCTGACTAAATACTTTTTCCCCCCACTGTATACATAATTCAATGTGGAATAGAGTACATTACAAAGTAAACTAAGCATTCTCAATACATACTGTACAGTCGTGGTCAAAAGTTTTGAGAATGACACAAGTATTGGTCTTCACAAAGTTCGCCGCTTCAGTGTTATGAGATATTTTTGTCAGATGTTACTATGGTATACTGAAGTATAATTACAAGCATTCCATAAGTGTCAAAGGCTTTTATTGACAATTACATTACGTTTATGCGAAGAGTCAATATTTGCAGTGTTGACCCTTCTTTTTCAAGACCTCTGCAATCCGCCCTGGCATGCTGTCAATTAACTTCTGGGCCACATCCTGACTGATGGTAGCCCATTCTTGCATAATCAATGCTTGGAGTTTGTCAGAAGTTGTGGGTTTTTGTTTGTCCACCCACCTCTTGAGGATTGACCACAAGTTCTCAATGGGATTAAGGTCTGGGGAGTTTCCTGGCCATGGACCCTAAATTTAGATGCTTTGTTCCCCGAGCGACTTAGTTATCACTTTTGCCTTATGGCAAGGTGCTCCATCATGCTGGAAAAGGCATTGGTCGTCAACAAACTGTTCTTGGATGGTTGGGAGAAGTTGCTCTCTGAGGATGTGTTGGTACCATTCTTTATTCATGGCTGTGTTCTTAGGCAAAATTGAGTGAGCCCACTCCCTTGGCTGAGAAGCAACCCCACACATGAATGGTCTCAGGATGCTTTACTGTTGGCATGACACAGGACTGATGGTAGCGCTCACCTTGTCTTCTCCGGACAAGGTGTTTTCCGGATGCCCCAAACAATCGGAAAGGGGATTCATCAGAGAAAATGACTTTACCCCAGTCCTCAGCAGTCCAATCCCTGTACCTTTTGCAGAATATCAGTCTGTCCCTGATGTTTTTCCTGGAGAGATGTGGCTTCTTTGCTGCCCTTCTTGACACCAGGCCATCCTCCAAAAGTATTCGCCTCACTGTGCGTGCAGATGCACTCACACCTGCCTGCTGCCATTCCTGAGCAAGCTCTGCACTGGTGGTGCCCCGATCCCGCAGCTGAATCAACTTTAGGAGACGGTCCTGGCGCTTGCTGGACTTTCTTGGGCGCCCTGACGCCTTCTTCACAACAATTGAACCTCTCTCCTTGAAGTTCTTGATGATCCGATAAATTGTTGATTTAGGTGCAATCTTACTAGCAGCAATATCCTTGCCTGTGAAGCCCTTTTTGTGCAAAGCAATGATGACGGCATGTGTTTCCTTGCAGGTAACCATGGTTAACAGAGGAAGAACAATGATTTCAAGCACCACCCTCCTTTTAAATCTTCCAGTCTGTTATTCTAACTCAATCAGCATGACAGAGTGATCTCCAGCCTTGTCCTCGTCAACACTCTCACCTGTGTTAACGAGAGAATCACTGACATGATGGCAGCTGGTCCTTTTGTGGCAGGGCTGAAATGCAGTAGAAATGTTTTTGGGGGATTAAGTTCATTTTCATGGCAAAGAGGGACTTTGCAATTAATTGCCATTCATCTGATCACTCTTCATGACATTCTGGAGTATTTGCAAATTGCCATCATCAAAACTGAGGCAGCAGACTGTGAAAATTAGTATTTGTGTCATTCTCAAAACTTTTGACCACGGCTGTACAGGGATTGGACTGCTATACACTCCCATACATCCACAGATGTTTGCACATGCACGTTCACACACATAAATCAGTGGCTCATTACAGGGGAGCCTATCCCACTATTCCACTGCGGTAACCACATCAGCTGGGGTTCACGTGTCTCTTTGTACTGAGGCCAGGGCAGCAGCCCAACAAGCCGCGGTGGGAAAGTGGCAACCAGGGAGAGGGAGGGTGGGGCTCTGTGGATGCATAGGGTGGTCCCTCCCTGTGGGATCCAGTTCCTCTCACTGTGGGAGGCTCTGGGTGGCTATACTGAAGGCCAGGGGAGAATATCAATTGCATACTCCTCACGTCCTATCTCCTCACTTTCTTCTCAAAACCCATTGGATGAGAAAGCCAGAGGTCCCTGTCCTCCAATGGGTTTTGAGAAGGAGACGTGGAGAGAGGACGCGATGAGTATGCAATTGAGATCCTCCCAGGAGTTTGGCCTGACCATGTGACTTGACCAGGAAAAACTGTCTCTCTTTGACCTAGGTGTATAGATCTATACACAGCAAATTCTCCAGTGTTAAATCAACACTGAGAGTGTTATATTTAACACTGTTCCAGGGTCTATATGGGTCCTCACTTTTCAGTGTTAAATGAACATACTGCTTAGTGTAAAGCCTTATTTGCATGTGAATTGAGTTACCACCCATGACTGACTTTATTTGATAGTGACAGAGCCATGGTTGTTGCATTCATTCATTTTCAGTACTGTGGCCTTCACCAAGTGAGATTCTAAGCAAATATGTTATAATTAAAATGTAATTATTTAAGACAATACAATACGTATTTCATAAGGTCTTATTTTGAGGGCCTAGTTATACCGTAATACAGTGGCCTTATGATGGCGTGTAAAGTGAAGTGTAATTCCTATTGGTATCCAGCCAAAGCGTCATTCTGAACTCGACCTGCATTCAGAATGACTGCCAGGGTTGGGAAGACTGAGATGAAAGACTAGCTAAACCATCTAAACTGGAACAAACATTTCAGTTATGGGTGCAACAAGTCCAAGTAACAGACCGGATTAGTTTAGAAAAATGTATGTTATTTATATTTGAGTAGCATAAGATTAATGAATCAATGTGCATGCAAAAACATAGATATTGATATAAAACTATTTAAAAATCTACCTGCAATAGAGCATGCTGGGAAATAGGATAATGATGGCTGTGGTTTTGGTTCAACTCTGTTTATTAACACCAACACTGGGGTTCTTTTACACTGAATGTTAATTTAACATTTACAAAGTTAATTTAACTCCTGAAAACACACTATAAATGTTACACTGAAAAATCAACACTAGGTAACACTGGCCAATTTGCGGTGTACGTATAGTATACTGTACCTTGGAGAAGAGGTCGAAACAGCCCAGCCGGCTGACGATGCAGTAGACCTCTGGCAGCCTCCGGCTTTTCCCACTGGGCTGTGGACACACAGCAGGACACAGGCAGATAGTTAGACAGGGTCAGAACAAACAGCACAGCAGAAGACATCAGTACCTGGACAACAGTTGGATTAGACCTGTGGAAATAAGGCTCTCCGTCTTGAACTTATTCATTTTGGGTGCCGGTACTGTTTATATTTAGGTGCAGGAGCTCCACAATACTTTTGAGCTAATATTCTATAAGAGGAACAGGAGCTCAAGCAGTAGAAAATGTCAAGCACTGATTCAGAAAAATTGAGTAACACTGCGTTTCCAATCACTCTCATCACTCAGGTAGGTGGCAGGCCTATACATGGAAGTGGATAAGGTGGACATTTTAAAAGTAGCCATTTTTAGTTGCCTACCAGTAAACGACGACAGTATCCAAACCGTCTGCTCCCGTCCTCACCGGTCAGGACGAAAGAGAACGTTTCACTGGAAAATAAAATATTTCACACAGGTTGGAAACTAATCATATGTTGGAGTGATACAACTGTTAATAAATAGAGTGAGTTGTGTGTTGAGAATAGAGCAGTCAAACCACTGTCAGGGTTGTATTTCACAAAACAACCTCAACCAGCCAACTTAGAAAAATGTACCCCTTGTTTTTTCTGATTTAGGTCACTGTGTGTTGAGTCAGTTACAGCACACCTGTTTTAATGTGATCTTATTCATCAACTAAACATTGAGCTTGAGAATATCTAGAACAGTTGGCTGCATAGCCAGCTCATTGACCCTGCTTTCAAGAAAAATCCAACCACCCTGGTCAAATCAAATCAAATGTTATTTGTCAAATGCGCCGAATACAACAGGTGTAGACCTTACCGTGAAATGCTTACTTACAAGCCCTTAACCAACAATGCAGTTAAGAAAAATAAGAGTTGAGAAAAGATTTACTAAATAAACTAAAGTAAAACAAATAAAAGAGTAACAATAAAATAACAATAACGAGACTATATACAGGGGGTACCGGTACCGAGTCAATGTGCGGGGTTACAGGTTAGTCAAGGTAATTTAGGTAATATGTACATGTAGATAGGGGTAAAGTGACTACGCATAGATAATAAACAGTGAGTAGCAGCAGCGTAAAAAGGGGGAAGGTTCAATGCAAATAGTCCAGGTAGCCATTTGATTAGCTGTTCAGCAGTCTTATGGCTTGGGGGTAGAAGCTGTTAAGAAGCCTTTTGGACCTAAACCTGGCGCTCCGGTACCGCTTGCCATGCGGTAGCAGAGAGAACAGTCTATGACTAGGGTGGCTGGAGTCTTTGGATATTTTTTGGGCTTTCCTCTGACACCGCCTGGTATAGAGGTCCTGGATAACAAGAAGCTTGGCCCCAGTGATGTACTTGGCCGTACGCACTACCCTCTGTAGCGCATTGCGGTCGGAGGCTGAGCTGTTGCCATATCAGGCGGTGATGCAACCAGTCAGGATGCTCTCGATGGTGCAGCTGTATAACTTTTTGAGGAGCTGAGGACCCATGCCAAATCTTTTCAGTCTCCTGAGGGGGAATAGGCGTTGTCGTACCCTCTTCACGACTGTCTTGGTGTGTTTGGACCATGATAGTTTGTTGGTGATGTGGACACCAAGGAACTTGAACCTCTCAACCTGCTCCACTACAGCCCTGTCGATGAGAATGGGGTGTGCTCGGCCCTCCTTTTCCTTTGTCTTGATCACGTTGAGGGAGAGGTTGTTGTCCTGGCACCACACTGCCAGGTCTCTGGCCTCCTCCCTATAGGCTGTCTTATTGTTGTCGGTGATCAGGCCTACCATCGTTTTGTCGTCGGCAAACTTAATGATGGTGTTGGAGTCGTGCTTGGCCACGCAGTCATGGGTGAACAGGGAGTACAGGAGGGGACTCAGCACGCACCCCTGAGGGGCCCCGTGTTGAGGATCAGCGTGGCAGATGTGTTGTTGCCTACCCTTAACACCTGGGGTGGCCCATCAGGAAGTCCATGATCCAGTTGCAGAGGGAGGTGTTTAGTCCCAGGGTCCTGAGCATACTGATGAGCTTTGAGGGCACTATGGTGTTGAACGCTGAGCTGTAGTCAATGAACTGCATTCTCATGTAGGTGTTCCTTTTGTCCAGGTGGGAAAGGGCAGTGTGGAGTACAATAGAGATTGCGTCATCTATCGATCTGTTGGGGTGGTATGCGAATTGGAGTGGGTCTAAGGTTTCTGGGATGATGGTGTTGATGTGAGCCATGACCAGCCTTTCAAAGCACTTCATGGCTACAGACGTGAGTGCTACGGGTCGGTAGTCATTTAGGTAGGTTACCTTGGTGTTCTTGGGCACAGGGACTATGGTGGTCTGTTTGAAACATGTAGTTGAGACACACTCGGTCAGGGACAGGTTGAAAATGTCAGTGAAGACACTTGCCAGTTGAGTACACGTCCTGGTAATCTGTCTGGCCCTGCGGCCTTGTGAATGTTGACCTGTTTAAAGGTCTTACTCACATCGGCTACGGAGAACGTGATCACACAGTCGTCCGGAACAGCTGGTGCTCTCATGCATGCTTCAGTGTTGCTTGCCTCGAAGCGCTCATAGAAGTAATTTAGCTCATCTGGTAGGCTCGTGCCACAGGGCAGCTCGCGGCTGCGCTTTCCTTTGTAGTCCATAATAGTTTGCAGGCCCTGCCACATCCGACGAACGTCGGAGCAGGTGTAGTAGGATTCAATCTTAGTCCTGTATTGACGCTTTGCCTGTTTGATGGTTCGTTGGAGGGAATAGCAGGATTTATAAGCATCCGGGTTATAATCCCGCTCCTTGAAAGCGGCAGCTCTACCCTTTAGCTCAGTGCGGATATTGCCTGTAATCCATGGCTTCTGGTTGGGGTATGTACGTACGGTCACTGTGGGGACGACGCCATCGACACACTTATTGATGAAGCCGGTGACTGATGTGGCATACTCCTCAATGCAACCGGATGAATCCCGGAACATATTCCAGTCTGTGCTAGTAAAACAGTCCTGTAACTTATCATCTGCGTCATCTGACCACTTCCGTATTGAGCGAGTCACTGGTACTTCCTGCTTTAGTTTTTGATTGTAAGCAGGAATCAGGAGGATAGAAGTATGGTCCGTTTTTGCCAAATGGAGGGCGAGGGAGAGCTTTGTACGCGTCTCTGTGTGTGGAGTAAAGGTGGTCTAGAGTTTTTTTCCCTCTGGTTGAACATGTGACATGCTGGTAGAAATGAGGTAAAATGGATTTAAGTTTCTCTGCATTAAAGTCCCCGGCCACAAGGAGCACCGCCTCTGGATGAGCATTTTCTTGTTTGCTTATGACCTTATACCATTCAGAGTGCGGTCTTAGTGCCAGCATCGGTTTGTGATGGTAAATAGACAGCTACGAAAAATATAGATGAAAACTCCCTTGGTAAATAGTGTGGTCTACAGCTTATCTTGAGATACTCTACCTCAGGCGAGCAAAACCTTGAGACTTCCTTAATATTATATTTAGCTTCCCAGCTGTTATTGACAAATAGACACAGACCGCCACCCCTTGTCTTATTCTCCAATGATTGGCACGTTGGCCAATAGGACGGATGGTAGAGGCGGGTTCCCCACTTGCCGACGAATTCTCACAAGGCACCCGGACCTGCGTCCCCTGTATCGGCATCTCTTCTTCATGTGAATGACGGGGATTTGGGCCTGGTCCGGTATCAGCATTAAATCCTTTGCCATCGACTGATTAAATAAAACATCTTTGTTGAGTTCGAGGTGAGTAGTCGCTGTTCTGATATCCAGAAGCTCTTTTCGGTCATAAGAGACTGTGGCAGAAACATTATGTACAAAATAAGTTACAAACAATGCGAAAAACAACACACAAAATAGCACAATTGGTTAGGAGGCCGTAAAACGGCAGCCATCTCCTCCGGCGCCATTCTGCCAATCATTGCTTGATGTCGGTAAAACCAAAAAGGCCCTACTTTGTTCTTCAGTCCTACTCTCAGGGCAGACTTACTCTGCAAGCACCCATACAAAGACAACTCCAAAGACTGCTACAAAGACCGCTCCAGTCTGCCTGACAGGTGTGCGTTGACCAACCCTGGCTCTCTGTCAGGCAGTGTGTCAGCCAGCTCAATGTCTTTGCCCTGCAGGTGTGTGTTTGAGGGGGCTCTGTCTGCATCCAAAATGGCACCCTATTCCATATATAGTGCACTACTTTGACCAGAGCCTATGGTCAAACGTAGTGCCCTATACACTGAGTATACCAAATATTAGGAACACCTTCCTAATATTGAGTTGCACACCCCCCCATTCAGAATTTGTCAACACCTTATTTATGGGGTGAGTGTGTGTGTGTGTGTGTGTGTGTGTGTGTGTGTGTGTGTGTGTGTGTGTGTGTGTGTGTGTGTGTCTCTGACCTGGGGAAGTTGTCAACGGGAGCCCAGTCCTTAGCGTCAGGGAAACAGAACTGGGGGATGACCTTCAGTTGGTCCTCTGTTTCCCGCATGAACTTGAAGCTCCTCTCCAGCTGACACAGGGAGAATAACAGGTCAGATGCAATACCACATCTGATATTATCTCGCACACAAACTCTAGACAGAGAGAACACACAATCTAACACAACTACAGAGACGCATGTGCAAAACCCACAAATACACATTCTGGTCTGGTAGGTCACATACAAAAACACCAGACACTTACTTGTGTTATATAAATAATTTTTTCACTGATAATATGAACAATGAATATCCAGTTGATTGAGGACTAGGTGTCAGCTCTGCCTACCTTGAGGGGGAACTGCTGAGTGACCTCTGGTAGGTAAGGACCTCCGGCCTTGGTCTTATGGAGGGCTACCACTATGAAGTACTCAAACAGCTTCCTCTCCTGTAGGTCCATCAGGTCCCTCTCCAGGGTCCGGTACCGGCCTGTCTGCCTCAACATGGACTGCACTGACGACAGACGCTGGCTGTGAGCTGAAACAATAACATACACTTTAACAATAATACCCCCCTCTACAAAGGAGAGAGTCCTATACACGTTTGTTTTACTATCCCTATGGGGACCAAACAATTGATTCCCATTCAAAATCCTATTTTCCCTAAACCCTAACCCTAACCCTAACCTTAACCCCAAACCCCTAACCCTAACCCTAACCCTAAACCTAACCCCTAACCCTAAACCTAACCCCTAAGCCTAAAATAGTAACTTTCTTTGTGGGGACTGGTGAAATGTCCCACTTGTCTGAATGTTCCTTGTTTTACTATCCTTGTGAGGACTTCTGTTCCCCACAAGGTTAGTCAAACCAAAAAAAAACACACACACACACAGATATTTGAGATCTCCTCACCTTTCAATTTCTCCTCTGTGTCACTCTCCGACTCACTGTTCTCATCTGTCACTGCATCAAAGAGAAGAAAGAGTGAGAATACAAACGCACAGTAAACAATGTGAACGAGAACATTTGAGGCAGTCAGGAAAGTTTCCACACACAGCATAGTACTCATACGCAATACACTCATTCCACATTTGTGTTTGATAAAGCAACACAACAATGAAGAATGGGTCAAACACAACTGACCCCCAAATGTACATGTGCCTGTAAAGCCAAGTGGACACATAAGAGTTTTGTTCCTTTTATGGAGATATGAGGCAGGCCTGTCCAAACTGTGTAGTGATGGCTGCAGTGAAATGAGTGCCTAGGGGGTAGGAGTAAAGGGTGAGGGGGGGCTCTTGTTAGCTTGAGGCCCCCATTGATGTTCCTGGCAGGTATCCCCCAGCCTCACCTCTCCCTGAGTTGGACTCAGTAGACTGAGACACCCTCTTCATGCGTTTCTTCCCTCTCCTTGCTTCAAAGATGCCGTTGATTTTCAGCACCATCTTTATTGAGGAGAAGCAGCACAACAACAGAGTCAGCAATCTTAACTTCCCAGAACCACCCATTCACTACATAATTAACCTTGGTCTGGGTGCCAGGCTAGTTCTGCTTTATTAGCCAACTCATATGTCATTACCATGCCAAAAAAGGCAATTACGGCGGTATTGTTGGCAGAGGCATTAACAGACTGGCAGCCAGACTGGCAGGAACCACATAATGCTATTCAGAGCTTTTTGGGAGATATTCTGTCTAGAGGAAATACATTATCAAAAGAAATATTCTTAACCATCTGTCTCCTGTCTAACCACATCATTTTAACTGTCTCTGTCCTGTCTAAGGTATCCCCAGACAACTGCATGAGAGGACCAGACAGGCCATCTTTTGCACTAGACTGAGACATACTGCCTGTAAATCACTGAGAATGGGGGGACGTTTCAGGAGCCTAGTATCCCCCTCCTTTACCCTGGGGATCTTCCTGCGCCTGCGGTTGTAGGGGTCTCCTGAGAGGCTGGGGGTGTCATCAGGGCTACTGGGGGTGGAGGGGGGGCTGATGCGGGAGGGTGAGGAAATGCCGGTGTCCCGGTTGGTCTTGCGCGGGTCCAGGAGCTTGAAGCTGTGACGTTCTGAGTTCTGCCTGAAGAAAACTGGCTTTGAGGAGAGCTGGTGGGAGATAGAGGAGGAAGAGCAGGAGAAGGAAGAGGACGAGGAGGAGGAGGAGGAGGGGAGAGGAAGGGGAGGAGGAGGGGGAGGAGGAGGGGGAGGAGGAGGGGGAGGAGATGTGTATCAGTATGTGTGTTTGTCCACTTCTCCTGAAATTGTATAGTGGGCCTTTATTGCCTTTGAAGATTAGTTCCCAGTCTGATCACTGTACTGTAACCACATTCACTATACGCAGAATGCACATTACTAGCATGGAGAATTCATTCTACTGTAATGATTTATGTACCTTGGTTGGTGTGTCGGGTACTGGGCACGAGGGGGAGGACATGGGTAAAGAGCACTTGTTTCCAAGGCAACTTCCCTCCAACTCTATATCTTCGTAAGGGTTCTCCTTCGACGGAGGGTCTGCAGAGGAAACAGAACAGAAAACATCCACATAAACACACAGCAACTGTCACCTCCATTCTACACTCAGCGACACACTGTGATCCTACCGAACCACGGTTCTAATGTCCAGCGTTATTCATTTGACGGCAATCTTCTCAAATGACTGCTCTAATTCATTGACGGTATGTTTGGTTGTTTCCAATCCATATTTTTTGCTCCAGATGTGCGTATTTACAGACCTGCCAGCAGCAGTGCTTGCTTGCAACCAAGCTCATATTTTACCAAGATAAACTGCATCAGTGTGCGACTGACGCTACCAGTAACCATGGCTGTGTGTGCAGATAAGAGAGACAGGGACAGAGAGGCCCATTTTCCAGAGCCGGGGCTCATCTCTTCTCCGCTGTCGATCCATTCACCAGATGGACCTGTTGGAGGGGGATGTCAGACAGGGACCGGGACAGCCAGTTCCTCTCCTCTCTCCTCTCCTCCTCCTCCTCCTCCTCCTCCCCTCCCATCCTCTCCTCTCCTCCTCTTCCTCTCCTCTCCTCTCCTCAGAAAAACAAGGAATCAGCTAGATCAATGGCTGTTTCAAGTGATTAATATCACTGACTGACTATACTACTCGAAGTCAGTGCTACTGAGATTTTGCTTAGTAAGAGTTGTTGCTCTCTCTATCTGAAACAGCAGACTGGAGTTGTGTAGAGTTGTTAGGAGTATGTATGTTGTAGACTGTACAGCCCTATGAGAAGACACTCAGACGTAGCCCAGTTATTGTAATGCACTGTCCTGCCTTTGTCTCTCTCTCTCTCTCTGTAGCTCCAGCTCTAGCTCTTTCTCCCATTGGCACTTCTGAGTTACTTTACCGATGGGGGCTAGGGGTTCGGTGGACCATGTCTGAGAATTCACTCTAAGTACTACACTGTGACACTGTAAGAAACGACAGACTAAGTATAGGCATCATCTAAATGCTATTAAAAACACAATTTGATTGTTATGGTTAATCTCTACAGCATTGACCTGATTATACCCTACATGTAACAAGTAATCCTCATAACACAACAATTTGAGTGATGAAAACCATAGAAACATGGATCATGTTGCCAAAAATGCTCCGGGGGACTAAGCCACTCAAATATGCCCCTCACAGCAGCCTCAGAGACAATCACACCGCATACCAACTAAACTAAGACCTCACAAAATGCTACCATTACACCGACATGGAACAGGCAGAAGGTTAGTATAACAGAGAAAACAATAACGCAGGAACGTAGGTAAGAGCACCACCTGTTATTACTAAAAACAATGCCTCTTCTAAATTAAAAAGCTACAGAAACACAAAAAGAAGATGCACAAAAGAAAACATAACCTTAGTTACAGCTGGGTCGTGTTCAGTAGGTAGAAAACGTTTTGATACAGAGTGAAATGGGGAGGTACTACCTAAACTTGTCCAATAAGAACACAGCTTTTTGTTTTTCACTGCAAAGCATTTTGCTACGGTGTACCCTACTGAACATGACCCTGAACTCTGTGGCAGTGAGTTCTCTCTGAACTCTTTGAGCAGAGGGGCACATGGCCCAAGTCAACCCTTACAGAGGGCTTCCACCGTTCTACAGTGTTAGGAACAGGAAGGAATATCAGCATCTGTGGTCCATGCAGGAATGAAACCCACAACTATGGTGATGCAAACCATCCAACAACTCCAACCAACTGAGCCATCAAGCCCATGTTATACAAACATATATTTAAGACCAGGATGCGTTACCTAGGATATCCTCGTAGACGTTCTCCTCTGATAAAGTGCGTGTGAGGCCCAGTCGGGACTGAGCGTACCAGTCCACCCTGCTGCTCTCTGATGACGTCTGCAGCAGATCCTCAAACTCATAGGACTTCCTGTAGGAGAGACACACACACAGAGATCAACCAGGTGGGAGATATATAATTGTGGAAGTGGTGAGTTATTATCTCTGGTCCTCTGTAACTCAGTTGGTAGAGCATGCTGCTTGTAACGCCAGGGTAGTGGGTTTGATTCCCGGGACCACCCATATGTAAAACGTGTGCATGCATGACTGTAGGTCGCTTTGGATAAAAGCATCTGCTAAATGGCATATATTATTATTATTCATATATTACTATAAGGGTCACAAATAATGCAGGTTGACGTTTATTGTCATGAGTGTTGTCCTGGAGGCAGAACTGAGCGATTTCCCCTTGGATAGGCCAGCTGCAGAGTCAAAATTGACTATGTTATAGAAAAATAAGCTTTTTGGTCTTAAAAGGTTAGGGTTAGCAGTGTCGTTAAGGTTAGGCCTCCAGAACAAGATGCATGACAAAAAATGCTAACCTGCACAAATAATCTGGCTCAACTGTATTGGCTGGTGGTGAAAAGATAAACTGTTTGCATATTCTCTCTCTACTTCTGGGACCTTGGTAAGAGCTGAGAAATACATCTATTTCTGTCTCAAACAACTACCCATCTATGTAGACCTCCAAATTGCAAAGGTGTGTGCGAGCATGCGTGTTTGTGTGTATGTGTGTGTGTGTGTGGTGTGTGCCTGCATGCATGCGTATGTTGTGTGTAACAGACAGACAGACAGACAGACAGACAGACAGACAGACAGACAGACAGACAGACAGACAGACAGACAGACTGATGCTCCTCTTGGCCATCTCTGAATGGCCATCTCTGTGTGTTCTCCAGAGCTGCCTAACAGTCTGGCCCAGTGGGAAAACAGACAGCATCTCTTCCAATAGCCCAGCTATTGTCCTGTAAAACTCCTAGAGAAAGACTAAGGTTGCACCCAAAATGGCACCCTATTCCCTGTATAGTGCAGTACTTTTGACCAGAGCCCAAATAGGCTCTGGTCAAAAGTATTGCACTATTTAGGGTGCCATTTTGGGCGCACTTTGACTGAGGCTGACTTCACAAAGGTTTTGGAAAATACAGACCTCAGCAGTGTGAAGCCTCCACATATGGTATGGAATGTTACACAGCCAGACTTAGGCTAACAAGAATGCAGTCTACTGAAGAAATCAACAATTGAAACATTTTAATCCACATTTGTACTTTCGTTGGATACTTGAAAACATGTATTGTGTTTTTAGAAGCCTTTTGTTTGTGCAGGTTGAGTTTATTGGGATGAATGATTTCCACTAGATAGGCCAGCTGCAAAGTCAGAATTGGCTATGTATTACCAAATTCATGAAAACAAAAATTAGCTTTTTGGCTTGGATTTTACATATAGGGTTAGGATTAAGGTCAGCAGTGTGGTTAGGGTTAGGTTGAGGTTAGGGTTAGGTTTAAAATCAGATTTTATGACTTTGTGTCTGTGCCAGCTAGTGGCTACCTTTCAGAGCTGCCTCCAAAACATGAGTCATCCCAATAAATGCCAACATGCGCCTTTTGCGTCTCTTGAAGGTCAGTTTAAGAACACTTCATGGTTAGCTGCTTATAGGTGAAAATGGAAGGTACTCTAATGTAATGCTATGATAGGGCCATAGAATTACTCAAACATAAGCTGTTGATATTCCAAGGGCCACTCGACCACAGACACACAATGTAACATGTTATTGTTTCCTGCCAGGAGTCTCTTGGCATGGTTCATTGGTCCATGTGTACATTCCACAGCTCCAACCAATGACCTCATCCTCTAGAATGCTGTGATGAGTAGAATGAGGATGACATCATCACCCCCTCCTCTGATTCAGTGCAGATGTGCAGAATGAGAAGCTAAACTGGATGACTGGATAAAGTATGTGGGGTTGGGGTAAAACATGTATGGGGAAAGATGTCACTAAGAACTTTTACTTAAAATGCTGTACGGATAGAAAATACTGTACTTCCAACCTTTGGCTGGGTAGCAATGAATTAATCTGTATATGAATCTGAGGGTGCTGTATTTCCTCCCATCTCTGTCTCATTTCATCGCTGTCTGGTCTCTTACCTGTTGCTGCTGTCTCTGGTTCTGTCTGCCCAGGGTCTCCTGCAGACTCCTGGCGGGGGGCAGGTGGGTAGGGGAGGCGGGGGGATGGAGGGCAGAGGGGGCAGGTTACGTCTCCCCTTGCCAAGGCCCAGGCCTGAGGCGGGGGTGTTGGGTGGGGTGTGGTGCTGGAAGGTGCGCTGGGGTTTGGGTAAGGGGTTGATGGAGGGACTGGCAGCACCAGGCTCAGTGTACACGTTCTCAGGGTCACCTGACCTCCGCCGCCGCGTTGAACCCACAACTTCCAGCGTCCCAAATATGGGCTCGTTCCCCCTCCTCTCAGCCTCCTCCTGCTCCTCCTGGGAAGGGGGGCAGAAATAGTTCCCAGGCAACACCAATGAGGGCTTGGTGGAACCCTCTTTCATGGCCTGCTCCAGTTTCTTAATGTGAGTCAAAACAGACTTCTTGTCCTTGGCTGTCTCAGTGGATTTACTACTGCCTCTGAGGGGTCCTCTATCCAGTATCACCTCTCTGTCCCTGGTAGTGGGGCCCTCAGGAGACTTAGGCCGTAAATCCCCCAGCTTTCCTGAGTTCTCCTTCCCAGAGTCCTGCCTCTCCCAGCTGGCCAACCACTTACTGTCGGACCTGTGGACCTCTGAGGTATTGGTGGTCTCCTTCTTTCTCACAGTCTCTGGTTCCTTCTGCGCTGTGTTCAGCGGGCATGGTCCACTTCCAACCACAGGGGAGGTAGGGAGGGTCTCCTTCTTTCCCTCCCATTGCGAGATCTTGTCCCGGATGCTGGCGCTGGTCTTCAGACCCGCCGGGGTCTTGTTGAGTTTACTGCAGCCGCCCAGTCCATTCTCCATGGTGGTGCGGGGGTCCGAAGTGGCTCTCTTGTGAGCGAGCATGGTGTCAATGGTGCCTGGCTCGTCCAGAGGGGAGACCAGGGAGGAGAGGGGCCGCTTGGAGGTGTCCCTGTCCCCGCACACCACGTCTGGCCGCTGGGGGACCACAGACGGAGCCTCCTCGACCTTCAAGCCACAGCACTGGAGCCTGCACACACACATGCATATAATCACACACACACACGCGCACACACACATAGATCATAGATTAGAGAAGGCAGAGCCAAACCCTTCCTGGACAAAACAACAGTGAGCTATTTATCATATGAGCAGAAATATAATTACTGAGCACGGTTAAATGCACACAATAATACGATGATAGTCAGATTAATATAATAGTCTGTTTAAAACGTTTACATGCTTTGCAAAAACGATTTCCCTAATAATCATATTTACAACCTGATGGGACTTTTGATAATTGTAGAAAATCGGCTATCAAAATAAATGTTCAACCACAGTGACCATGATATTTTAGCTTAGCCTACAGTATGTGATTCTGAGGTCAGACATATAACGTTTGTATGAAAACTATTTCTAAAATGCAAACTTTCAGTTTTTCCGAACTCACTTCTCTCGCGAATAAGAGGGAGGCTTGCGCTACCGGTGCTGGCACATGTGCAGATCAAATACACTGCTGGAACACCAATTATGCTGTTTATATGTCCTAATCATTGGAAAGATTGCTCAGAAAATCAGGTGTTTTAACCGCGTATGCTCACTTCCATTTTGACCTCATGCCGATTAAGATAAGCAGAGTAAGGTGTTTACATGACTATTTCCATACTCTGCCTACTGCCATAATCAGTTTAATATCAAATTATTAATGTGTATGTAAACATACTCACTGACAGCTTTCAGAAGGACATCAATTTGAGTACACAAAGCACTGTAATCATTGACAGCTCATAATTCTGGATATCCACATAATATCTCTGTCATAACTGTCTAGTCACATCAGATACAAAACAACTGCCACTTGATTTTATGGAGTAAATGAGAAGGAATTCTCATAAAACAACAACCCCCAGTATAACTCAATTTGTGTCTCTGTCTCTGTCTAAGAACGGTAATTTCTGCATGATGACTGGGTCGTGACAGTTTGAACTCAAGGTTAAAGTTTACAAGCAGCACAGCTATTTCTGGGGAGATGAAAGTGTACACAGCAAAGGGAGAGGCTGGGGTAGAGGCATGCATCTTGTCTAAACTAAAGCTGACCCAGTAACTGACTCCATCTTGGATCAAGGCCAGTTCAAATGACTTGGCTTTAAAACAAACAGAGGAAACGTGGCCTCTGACTGCAACTTCTGATGACATTGCTTTATTGTATTTACGAAAATGAAATGGCATGCAATCTTGAGGGAAACTTAAAGGAAACGGACTGTTCAATCGAGTACAAGCTTAACTGAATGAACAACAAAGATGGAATGCAATATGGAATTTTATTAAATTGTTTGGGGAATGGCCTTGTCTCCGAGGGAAGATCCTCAGAGCCAGATGATGTGACGGCAGGTGACCCCCACTCATTCCCACTATACCTATAGAATAGGAAACCAAGTGAATTATGTTCTGCTTACTGGATGAAGTTAAACAAGCATTCAGACCAGCCTTCCTGATTAAACTTTAGTAAACTACATTACAATTTCCCTTCAACTCCCTTAGACGATTTTACATTTGAAAGACAAATGGTGTCGAAATATTACGAAATTACAATTATGGGCGGCAACAGGGAAGAGTGACAGATTTTTTGAGGGGCAGATTCTCATGGTTTTATTCGAAGTTTACTTTCTCTGCCTTCAGTTGAGGCTGTAGTTTTTATGAAGCATGGAGCAGCAGAGGGGGAAACTAAGACAATCTGCAATGTCACGCCCTGGCTCTGGGACTCTGTTATGTTGAGCCAGGGTGTGTTGTTTCTTTGTGTTTTGTGTGCTAGGGTGATATTCTAGTGCTTGTGTTTCTATGTTGGCCGGGGTGGTTCTCAATCAGAGGCAACGTGAATCAGCTGTTGCTTGTTGTCTCTGATTGGGAACCATACTTAGGCAGCCGTTTGGGCATTGTCATGTGTGGGATCTTGTTCCGTATGGTTTGTGTTGTAACCAAGGACTTCACGTTTCGTATCGTTTGTTGTTTTGTTCGTGTGGTGTTCTCTAAATAATAAAGTATGTTCACATTCCACGCTGCGCATTGGTCCACTTCCTCCGACGATCGTGACAGAAGATCCCACCATAACTGGACCAAGCAGCGTGTCCAGGAGCCAACGCCAGAGGTGACTCTGAAGGATATCAACCTCGACTGGGTCAAGCCGCGGGAGGAGGAGAGAGGCTGGACTTTGGAGCAGTGGAGCAAGAGTCTGGCGAGAGCCATGGAGGCCTGGCCCACGGGGAGGAGAGACGCCCAGAAATGTTTTAGGGGGGGGCTCACGCCGTGGACGACGGGGCAGCAGGAGGCCGCCAGGTTACGGGAGTCACTGGTCACCAGGGGGAAGGAGGATGTAGAGGCACGGCGAGAGGTACTGGGGTGTGTTGCCAGTCCGGTCCGGCCCGTTCCTGATCCCCGCGTAGGGCCAGTGGTGTGTGTCCCCAGTACGGTCCGGCTTGTTCCTGTCCTTCGCACCAAGCCTGTGGTGCGCGTCGCCAGCCCGGTCCGGCCTGTTCCTGCCCCTCGCACCAAACCAGTGGTGCGCTTCGTCAGCCCGGTTCGGCCCGTCCCTGCTCCCCGCACCAAGCCAATGGTGCGCGTCGTCAGCCCGGTCCGGCCTGTTCCTGCTCCAAGCCAGTGGTGCGCTTCGTCAGCCCGGTTCGGCCCGTCCCTGCTCCCCGCACCAAACCAGTGGTGCGCTTCGTCAGCCCGGTTCGGCCCGTCCCTGCTCCCCGCACCAAGCCAATGGTGCGCGTCGTCAGCCCGGTCCGGCCTGTTCCTGCTCCCCGCACCAAGCCAGGGGTGCGCTTCGTCAGCCCGGTTCGGCCCGTCCCTGCTCCCCGCACCAAACCAGTGGTGCGCTTCGTCAGCCCGGTTCGGCCCGTCCCTGCTCCCCGCACCAAGCCAATGGTGCGCTTCGTCAGCCCGGTCCGGCCTGTTCCTGCTCCCCGCACCAAACCAGTGGTGCGCTTCATCAGCCCGGTTCGGCCCGTCCCTGCTCCCCGCACCAAGCCAATGGTGCGCGTCGTCAGCCCGGTCCGGCCCGTCCCTGCTCCCCGCACCAAGCCTGTGGTGCGCGTCGTCAGTCCGGCACAGCCCGTGCCTGTTCCACCGGTGCCTGGTCCGGCACCGGTCAGCTGCTCCACACCGGAGCTAGAGCAATCCGCTCCACCAGTGTTCAGTCCAGCTCCGGCCAGCAGGGCCAGACCGGACCAGGGGCGCTTTGGGGGGTTAGAGAGGGAGTGGGGGTCATGCCCGGAGCCGGAACCGCCTCCGAGGAGGAATGCCCACCCGGCCCTCCCCTGTTTGGTTTATGTTTGGCGCGGTCGCAGTCCGCGCCTTTGGGGGGGGGGGGGGGGGGTACTGTCACGCCCTGGCTCTGGGACTCTGTTATGTTGAGCCAGGGTGTGTTGTTTCTTTGTGTTTTGTGTGCTAGGGTGATATTCTAGTGCTTGTGTTTCTATGTTGGCCGGGGTGGTTCTCAATCAGAGGCAACGTGAATCAGCTGTTGCTTGTTGTCTCTGATTGGGAACCATACTTAGGCAGCCGTTTGGGCATTGTCATGTGTGGGATCTTGTTCCGTATGGTTTGTGTTGTAACCAAGGACTTCACGTTTCGTATCGTTTGTTGTTTTGTTCGTGTGGTGTTCTCTAAATAATAAAGTATGTTCACATTCCACGCTGCGCATTGGTCCACTTCCTCCGACGATCGTGACATGCAAAGCCAAGAAAAAGAGAAAGAGAAAGAGAGTGGAGGGGAGGAAAGGATGGGGGGTTGGAAGAGCAACATACAGAGGGAGGGAGGCTGGGAGGAAGAGGGGATCAATAGTGTTCTCTTCTTCTTGGCATGGGAATGGCCAATTTAATCAAAAGAGGGAACTATGGGAAGACTTCCTCTCACCCACAGACAAGGAGGGGTGGGGAGGGGGACGGTGGAGGCGGAAGGTGGGTACAACAACCATCACTGACCAGCAGCGCAACAGAGGACGAGGAGACAGAGGAGGAGACAGGGGGAACAGGTTCAACTGGGTGAAGAGGAGTTGAATGAGGGGGGAAAATAGATCTCTGTTGAATGGACTTTTTCCAATGTTCTGGTATTTCTTTAAGCTGTGCCATCTATGGTTTAGGGCTTCACTAGCACTAGTGACAGCAGGGTGACCAGTAACAGTATCCAGCTGCCAGGTGGAAACCTCTGCTGCCCTTCCATTGTTGGAACACCACATGGGACAGTCTGCCCGGCACTGTTGCCCTCAGACAGTTTCTAAGGGGTTCCATGGAGTGGACTGTAAAATGTATACAGGTAGTAGTAATGTAATACATACCCGTTGACTGATTGGTAGATACAGTTGTCAGTGTTGGTACAGAGCAGCAGGGCCCTCCCACCAGTCATGGTGCTAGCAGCTGGCATCCTGGATGGACAGAGAGAGAGAGAGAGAGAGAGAGAGAGAGAGAGAGAGAGAGAGAGAGAGAGAGAGAGAGAGAGAGAGAGAGAGAGAGAGAGAGAGAGAGAGAGAGAGAGAGAGAGAGAGATACAGACAGACCGACACAGTCCAGTTAGCAGAGTTGGACTGCTAGTTAAGGATCATATCATCTCCACCTTATCCGACACCCTAGACCCACTACAATTTGGAAATAGAAATACCTATGTAAGAATGCTGTTCATCGACTACAGCTCAGCCTTCATCACCATAGTGCCCTCCAAGCTCATCACTAAGCTCGGGACCCTGGGTCTGAACCCCGCCCTGTGCAACTGGGTCCTGGACTTCCTGACGGGCTGATTCCAGGTGGTGAAGGTAGGCAACAACACCTCCACCACGCTGATCCTCAACACGGGGGCCCCACAGGGGTGCTCGCTCAGCACCCTCCTGTACTCCCTGTTCACCCATGTTTGGCCACGCAAGTCTCCAACTCAATCATCAACTTTGCTGACGACACAACAGTGGTAGGCCTGATTACCAACAACATCCCAGGAAAATAACCTCTCCCTCAATGTCAACAAAATGAAGGAGCTGATCGTGGACTACAGGAGACAGCAGAGAGAAGACACCCCCATCCATATCGATGGGGCCGCAGTGGAGAGGATCAAAAGCTTCAAGTTCCTCGGCGTGCACATCACTGACAACCTGAAATGGTCCATCCACACAGACAGTGTGGTGAAGAAGGCGCAACAGCGGGCTGTATCACCGCCTGGTACGGCAATTGCGCCATCCACAACCGCAGAACTCTCCAGAGGGTGGTGCAGTCAGCCCAAAGCGTCACCAGGGGGCACATTGCCAGCCCTCCAGGTCATCATCAGTACCCAGTATCACAGGAAGGCCAAGAAGATCATCGAATTTCCCCTATACCCATTATGAGGTTGCTACAACCTAGCTTATGAATGAAAGCTTACAACGTAGCTGCACACAGGTCGAGAGACAAATTTGATGTGACAGACAGTGACACATGGACAGACAGTGATACTCAATACGGCCTTGCACACTCTTGCCTGCATCTAGATGATATTGGGTGTAATCATTAGCCCAACAATTGCAAACGAGAGTTTCTATTGGACAAATTCAGGTATGTTTATCCCCGTTTTGTTCCGTTTGCTTGTGTTTAAGAACATTTTTTCAACAGAATCGGCGGAATGAATACACCCCTGATCACCTGTAACCACAGTTCACAGTTTCATAGCAGCCATGTTGTATTCCTTCTCGCATCTACATTATGCACTCTCCTCCTTTCACCTCTTCCCTTGCCGATTTTTGGAGAAACCGCATGCGAAAAGGAAGGTTGTGACACTGGACGTTGATAGGGGGCGAGCCGGTTAAATGGCATCCCTTGAGAAGGCAAGAACAAGATGTATGTGAGGAGAAGTGCAGTATTATCATAAGGACACTAAGGACACGTATACTTGTAATACGGAGGAGGAATGGAGGGAAAAAGAGAGGCAGAGGGGGTCTAAGAGAGAGAGGGAGGAAGAGGGTGAGCGGAGATGGTTTGTTAAAGAAGAATGGTAGAAAGTGTAAACAGAGTGAGCTGAAGACAGGAGGAGAAATGGACGTGAATGAGGGCGAAGTATCGGAGGTGGTAGGTGTGGTGAAGTTCTCGGAGCCCGAGGCTTGCACCGAGGGTCAGGATAAAGATGAGTCTGTGACAGTAGGAGTGAAGTTTTTGGAAAAAGTGGAACCTTGCCTTTTGGCTGATCCATTTGTGGTTTCTGGGTGGGTGAAAACAGAGCTGGGTGCTGTGGAATCGGTGAGGGTAACCAGAAGTGGTCTTGTGATAATTGTTTGTGTTTCTGCTGGTCAGAGGGAGCAGGTGCTCCGCATTAAACGAATGGGGGCAAGAGATGTGAATAGTTTTTCCCTCAAGAAAAGGGTGCCATTGAAAGGAGTGATTACTGTGGTAGCAGTAAATGTAAAAGTTGGCCAACTGAAGGGGAACTCCCGAGTGGCGCAGTGCTAGCTGTGCCACTAGAGATCCTGGTTCGAATCCAGGCTCTGTCATAGCCGACCGTGACCGGGAGACCCATGGGGCGGCGCACAATTCGTCCAGGGTAGGGGAGGGAATGGCCGGCAGGGATGTAGTTCAGTTGGTAGAGCATGGCGTTTGCGACGCCAGGGTTGTGGGTTCGTTTCCCACGGGGGGCCAGTATAAAAAAAAACAATAAAAAAAACATGTAATGTATGCACTCACTAACTGTAAGTCGCTCTGGATAAGAGTGTCTGCTAAATGACAAAAAAAAAAGGGGGGGGAAAGATTCCCAGTGTTTGTGATGCTTGTCGTTTGGTGCGACGCAGACAGGGTGGCATGAGTGGTGAAACAGAAGAGTCATTGTCTGTTCTTTTGATGTTGAGTCTTTGCCCAACAAAGTGATGTTAGGATAAGCTTTTGTGCCGAATACATTACATTGTTACAAGTGTCAAGCTTATGGGCATGTGGCAGCAGTGTGGAGGAGGGAGGTTCCTAGGTGTTAGAAGTGTGCAGAAGGGCATGAGACAAAGGAATGTGTAGCATTGGGGAAAGTAGTGGCACAGAGGCTTGTGAAAGTATTCATCCCCCTTGGCATTTTTCCTATTTTGTTGCCTTACAACCTGGAATTAAAATGGATTTTTTTAGGGTTTGTATCATTTGATTTACACAACATGCCTACCACTTTGAAGATGCAAAATATGTTTTATTGTGAAACAAACAAGAAATAAGACAAAAAAATAACAGAAAACTTGACCCCCCCAAAGTCAATACTTTGTAGAGTCACCTTTTGCAGCAATTACAGATGCAAGTCTCTTGGGGTATGTCTCTATAAGCTTGGCACATCTAGCCACTGGGATTTTTGCCCATTCTTCAAGGCAAAACTGCTCCAGCTCTTTCAAGTTGGATGGGTTCCGCTGGTGTACAATCTTTAAGTCATACCACAGATTCTCAATTGGATTAAGGTCTGTGCTTTGACTAGGCCATTCAAATACATGTAAATGTTTCCCCTTTAACCACTCAAGTGTTGCTTTAGCAGTATCCTTAGGGTCATTGTTCTGCTGGAAGGTGAACCTACGTCCCAGTCTCAAATCTCTGGAAGACTGAAATAGGTTTCCCTCAAGAATTTCCTTGTATTTAGTGCCATCCATCATTCCTTCAATTCTGACCAGTTTCCCAGTCCCTGCCCATGAAAAACATCCCCACAGCATGATGCTGCCACCACCATGCTTCACTGTGGGGATGGTGTTCCCGGGGTGATGAGAGGTGTTGGGTTTGCGCCAGACATAGCGTTTTTTATAACCCAACCCTGATCTGTACTTCTCCACAACTTTGTCCCTGACCTGTTTGACGAGCTCCTTGGTCTTCATGGTGCTGCTTGTTTGGTGGTGCCCCTGGCTTAGTGGTGTTAAAGACTCTGGGGCCTTTCAGAACAGGTGTATATATACCGAGATCATGTGACACTTAGATTGCTTACAGGTGGACTTTATTTAACTATAATAACTGTAATTGGTTGCACCAGATCTTATTTAGGGGCTTCATAGCAAAGGGCGTGAATACATATGCACGCACCACTTTTCCGTTATTTATTTTTTAGTTATTTTTTGAATTTCACTTCACCAATTTGGACTATTTTGTGTATGTCCATTACATGAAATCAAAATAAAAATAAATTTAAATTACAGGTTGTAATGCATTTTTGGGTGTGCTTTGACATCAGAAGAGTTACAGGGTGTGTTAAGTGGTGGTGTCCCATCCTTTCAGGTTGTTGGCCTGAGGTAGGACTAAATATATTTAAATAGTGTAGGGTGGTGTTATTATTATTATTACTATTATTATTTTGTGAGTGTAGTGTTAGATGGTAGAGTATTTGTTTATTTATTTATATTCTCAAGCTAAGTATAAGGGAATTGTACTCCAGTCTAGTAGGTGGAGGTTTATTGGATGCCAACCGCCGTTAAACCTCATCGAAGAAGAGAAAGAAGAAAAAGACACCTCTTCCCTTCGCTTGTGGACTTCAATGCACAACACATCAGCTGTACAGTATGTGACCAGGCGAAAAAACCTTTCCAAGCCAAACCACTACACACAGCCTACATCGTTGTCACCATATTAGCTAAAGTAACGTCATAGTCAGCATAGCTAATAGAACTAACGCGTTAGTAAACCCGCTAAATCATGCAGTAACGATACACCTGCGGGCCCGGTGGCAATACATTAGTAAAACCAAAAGCTTACCTTGACTTAGTTGGAAGAGATCCAGTGTTGTGTTGGATAGTCATTGCCAGCTAGCTAACATAGCATCCCTCTGTTTGAGCAGGGTGTTTCAGTAGGCTAAACTAACTAGCTGCATTTGCTAGCGAAGTGAAACTGAAAGTGAAAAGAAATTATGAAATCTCTCTCTTGCTTCTCCTTCATTTAGGAATAAATTAATTTGTTCAAAACTGTTCAACAATTTTCTTTCTCTCTCTTTGAGTCAACTACTCACCACATTTTATGCAGTGCTAGCTAGCTGTAGTTTATGCTTTCAGTACTAGATTATTTCTCTGATCCTTTGATTGGGTGGACAACATGTCAGTTCATGCTGCAAGAGCTCTGATAGGTTGGAGGACGTCCTCCGGAAGTTGTAATAATTACTGTGTAAATCTATGTAAGGGGGTGAGAACCATGAGCCTCCTAGGTTTTGTATTGAAGTCAATGTACTCAGAGGAGGACTGAAGCTAGCTGTCCTCCGGCTACACCATGGTGCTACCCTACAGAGTGCTGTTGAGGCTACTGTAGACCTTTGCAAAATAGTGTGTTTTAATCAATTATTTGGTGACAGTTTATTTAGTATAGTTTTATCTAAAAATGATGACTTTTTTAATGTTTTACATTTTTATGAAATTCACTGAGGAGGATGGTCCTCCCTTTCCTCCTCTGAGGAGCCTCCACTGGTTTACATACTGTTTTACCCACTTCATATTTACAATATATACTGTATTCTAGTCAAGGCTCAACCAGGTTAGGGCTGTTACGGTGACCGTTTTATCGCCACATCAGCGGTCACTAGTCATGACGGCAGTCAAATTAGGCTAATTAGGCTTCTCCAAGTTCTGATGCTGCTGATGGTCATTAGTAGCCTACCAAACTTGCTAACTGCCTGGTACTCAGCACTCTATTGTCCCTCGCATCACTCTGACATCAATGAAAATGTAATTAAAAATCGAATCAAACACTTCATGAGAGCCCATGAGCTCATGTTGCGCAACATTTCGATAGGCTAACATTTCTATGTGCATGAGAAAACAAAGTGATGGCCTCTATTAAAAAGAGGAGGATCCCATTAGCTTTCTATAGGCTAGGCCTACTATGTTTATTTCTCAACTTTCCTAATATTAAGCGCATTGCTTCTCTTTACAACAGGAGTATATCCTACCTGGCTGGCATGAAAATTAACCACGGAAAAGTGTCCTCCATTCGCTACTTAAGTGCATAGATTACATGATTTTTTTTCTCCTGCCCCTGTTTCGAGACCGGTTCATGATAATGGTCCATTCTAAATCAAAACAAACAAGATTAAATCAATCTGATGGGTGACAATATTAGCCTATTACATTTAACATTTTAGTCATTTAGCAGACACTCTTATCCAGAGCGACTTACAGTTAGTGAGTGCATACATTTTCATACTGCCCCCCCCTGTGGGAATCGAACCCACAACCCTGGCGTTGCAAGCGCCATGCTCTACCAGCAGAGCTACACGGGGCCCATCACTTGTGAATTATATATTTGCACTTGTGAATGATTCCCAGCTTGTGTGCAGTAAGGCAAGAAACAGTGCATGCCTCATGTAGCCTATCCCATAGGCCTACAGTGAGGAGAACAAGTATTTGATACACTGCCGATTTTGCAGGTTTTCCTACTTACAAAGCATGTAGAGGTCTGTAATTTTTATCATAGGTACACTTCAACTGTGAGAGACGGAATCTAAAACAAAAATCCAGAAAATCACATTGTATGATTTTTAAGTAATTAATTTGCATTTTATTGCATGACATAAGTATTTGATCACCTACCAACCAGTAAGAGTTCCGGCTCTCACAGACCTGTTTGTTTTTCTTTAAGAAGCCCTCCTGTTCTCCACTCATTACCTGTATTAACTGCACCTGTTTGAACTCGTTACCTGTATAAAAGACACCTGTCCACACACTCAATCAAACAGACTCCAACCTCTCCACAATGGCCAAGACCAGAGAGCTGTGTAAGGACATCAGGGATAAAATTGTAGACCTGCACAAGGCTGGGATGGGCTACAGGACAATAGGCAAGCAGCTTGGTGAGAAGGCAACAACTGTTGGCGCAATTATTAGAAAATGGAAGAAGTTCAAGATGACGGTCAATCACCCTCGGTCTGGGGCTCCATGCAAGATCTCACCTCGTGGGGCATCAATGATCATGAGGAAGGTGAGGGATCAGCCCAGAACTACACGGCAGGACCTGGTCAATGACCTGAAGAGAGCTGGGACCACAGTCTCAAAGAAAACCATTAGTAACACACTACGCCGTCATGGATTAAAATCCTGCAGCGCACGCAAGGTCCCCCTGCTCAAGCCAGCGCATGTCCAGGCCCGTCTGAAGTTTGCCAATGACCATCTGGATGATCCAGAGGAGGAATGGGAGAAGGTCATGTGGTCTGATGAGACAAAAATAGAGTTTTTTGGTCTAAACTCCACTTGCCGTGTTTGGAGGAAGAAGAAGGATGAGTACAACCCCAAGAACACCATCCCAACCGTGAAGCATGGAGGTGGAAACATCATTCTTTGGGGATGCTTTTCTGCAAAGGGGACAGGACGACTGCACCGTATTGAGGGGAGGATGGATGGGGCCATGTATCGCAAGATCTTGGCCAACAACCTCCTTCCCTCAGTAAGAGCATTGAAGATGGGTCGTGGCCGGGTCTTCCAGCATGACAACGACCCGAAACACACAGCCAGGGCAACTAAGGAGTGGCTCCGTAAGAAGCATCTCAAGGTCCTGGAGTGGCCTAGCGAGTCTCCAGACCTGAACCCAATAGAAAATCTTTGGAGGGAGCTGAAAGTCCGTATTGCCCAGCGACAGCCCCGAAACCTGAAGGATCTGGAGAAGGTCTGTATGGAGGAGTGGGCCAAAATCCCTGCTGCAGTGTGTGCAAACCTGGTCAAGACCTACAGGAAACATATGATCTCTGTAATTGCAAACAAAGGTTTCTGTACCAAATATTAAGTTCTGCTTTTCTGATGTATCAAATACTTATGTCATGCAATAAAATGCAAATTAATTGCTTAAAAATCATACAATGTGATTTTCTGGATTTTTGACCTCTACATGCTTTGTAAGTAGGAAAACCTGCAAAATCGGCAGTGTATCAAATACTTGTTCTCCCCACTGTATATGTTTTGATAAGGTTTGTATCACAACTAATTCATCCGCTTTACAACGGTTGTAGAGCCTAACTGGTATACTTACGCAGCGCGTGAGTTTGAAGTTTGGGGCAGATAATTTTCACCCCAAAAATGCACCTTTATAATAAAAGCATTACATGCATAATCGCATTTGCGGTCACTTTTGAGAATAGTGTTTTCCCGCTAATTAATTGCATTTTAGAACATTCGCGCTTATAGGCTACTGCCGTGTGCGCATTGCTGCTTATAATGTGAGCTTCTATATATTTTTAAATAATAACTTTCAAATGTTGTACAATCCAGGTGTACAAAGCTCTTAGAGACTTACCCTTAGGGTTCTGGTCAAAATTTGTGCAATACATAGGGAACTACGAATAGGGTGCTATTTGGGACCCGGCCTAGACGAGCACTCAACAACCAGGCCCATAAACGCTGATCAAGCGACCTGGCTTGAGTTTTGCCCCAGGTCTCGGCCCCTGATTTGGCCCAGGTATTAACATGGCAGAGGACGAGTCTGGGCAAACGCCTGTTATCAGTTAGTGTTTCTAAATCTGCATTGCTTGCTGTTTGGGGTTTTAGGCTGGGTTTCTGTATAGCACTTTGTGACATCTGCTGATGTAAAAAGGGCTTTATAAATACATTTGATTGATTGATTGATTGATTGATTACTCACATCAGACGGACAGACAGACAGAGACAGGCAGGCGGGCGGACAGACAGACAGCTGGACGGACAGACACACACGCATGTCACACACACACGTAGCTGGAAAAACAGCGTCCAGACCCAACAGATAGGGGAATGTGCGTGTGTGTGTGTGCGTGTGTGTGACCAGATGTGCTAGAGGGCTTCAAGGCAGCCATGGGCCGTTAAACATTTCCTGAGCACTGCCCACTCCAATAAACGCTCCCTCAACCACCAATAAATACGCATCAGCTAACCCTGCTGCCATCCCTCACCCCAACCCTCAGTATGCAGGGATTGCCTCCCCAGTCGGCTCAAATTCCACACATTGCTGTCCCCAAAACAGCTGAAGAAAACCTGCCACAATTTGGCTGAATTACGTAAAAGTTGTTAACCAGCTGAATTATTCCTTGGCTGAGTCAACTGTGTAATTGGCCCAGTGGGTCTGTCCGGCGTTTTGAAACTGCACAGCTCAGGTTTTTTTTTTCACTTAAGTGTGTAATTATAACTTGACACTATGGAGAAATTATGCTTTTGGTTGATAAAATGCACTTGGTTACGGTAAGAGGTTAATCTGTATGTCTCTGTTTCAGTTTCTTTTTCTCTCTCTACTCCTCCCTCCCTCTCTCCTGCCTTTCTCCCACTCTGCTATCTGTTGGAGCAGTACTGGGCTAGCCCCCAGAGAGAGAGGAGGAGGTTTGTTTCAGCCCCTCGCCTGGGAGCTTGCAGGCCCAAATTATTTTCAGCTGTGAGCGAAGCGCCGGTCACATGTTTGAGGGGAAACATCAACATTCCCCCCCCCCCCCTTCCCTCTCTTCTCTCTCTACCTCTTCTTTCTCTACTGAAACCAAACAGGAAAAAATTCAGAACAGAAATCCAGTGGAAGGGGGTGGGGGAGGGAACATAAGAAGAATGTATGTAGCCTCAGAAAAATGAAGTGTAGTTTTACATGGGTCAGCAAGAGGGGGGTGAGCATCACAGAGGAGGAGAACAGGGGGGAAGGAAAGGAGACAGCAAATGGAGGGAGAGAGGAAAGAGGGAAGGAAAGTGGATATTGTGAAGAATATTATGAGTATAGCGTTACACTGTGACAAAACGTTGAGGGTTTCAGCTCTCATTCATTGTTTGGAGCCCCAGGGTGAGAACACAAACTGCTGTTCTATGAGTTCTGTGATGGAATGCTGATTGGCTCACTAAAACACAGTATTCCCTACAGTTGAACTTGTTCCATGGGCCCTGAGGAACACTTTATTGTTGAGTTGAATGTTGAGTGTAACTGACGTTGACCATTACAGGCTCCAGGTTTCTGAATGAGTCATCAAACCTGGCACTAGCAGGCAGCTCCATATGAAACCCCCCTTCACTCTGAACGTGACAGGCAGTGAATCCATACCTAGTAATGCTGTAAATCTGACAGTGTTGCCAGGCAGTTGTATTGGTGCCCGGCCTGTTACTGGAGTAACTAAATCCATTGGAGCGAGAGAGGGGAGAGAGAGCGAGAGAGAGCGAGAGAGTAAATACAACCCATATTTATGTTTATTTATTTTCCCATTTGTACTTTAACTATTTGCACATTGTTACAACACTGTATATATACATAATATGACATTTGAAATGTCTTTATTCTTTTGAAACTTCTGAGTGTAATGTTTACTGTTAATATTTATTGTTTATTTCACTTTTGTTTACTATCTACTTCACTTGCTTTGGCAATGTTAACACATGTTTCCCATGCCAATAAAGCCCTTAAATTGAAATTGAATTGAATTGAGAGAGAGAGAGAGAGAGAGAGAGAGAGAGAGGAGAGAGAGAGAGAGAGAGAGAGAGAGAGAGAGAGAGAGAGGGTCAGCAGCAGGGTATCAGGACCCATCAGTTGCATAACAAATCCAACAGGACAGCAGGAGATTCCTATCAGTGGATGGATGGTCACTGGGTGTCTGGACGCAGCTACAGTTACATAAACAACACAGGAGTGAGCCTAGTAGGAAACTGCAGGGGGTTGGACTCACTGTAAGACAGGGAAGATGGTATGTGAAGGTTAATATAGGGACGTAAGGTCACAGGTAACATGCATTTAGTATGTACAGTTGAAGTCGGAAGTTTACATACACTTGGGTTGGAGTCATTAAAACTCGTTTTTCAACCACTCCACAAATTTCTAGTTAACAAACTATAGTTTTGGCAAGTCGGTTAGGACATCTACTTTGTGCATGACACAAGTAATTTTTCCAGACAATTGTTTACAGACAGATTATTTCACTTATAATTCACTGTATCACAATTCCAGTGGGTCAGAAGTTTACATACACTAAGTTGACTGTGCCTTTAAACATCTTGGGAAATTCCAGGAAATGATGTCATGGCTTTAGAAGCTTCTGATAGGCTAACTGACATCATTTGAGTCAATTGGAGGTGTACCTGTGGATGTATTTCAAGGCCTACCTTCAAACTCAGTGCCTCTTTGCTTGACATCATGGGAAAATCAAAAGAAATCAGCCAAAAATGTGTAGACCTCCACAAGTCTGGTTCGTCCTTAGGAGCAATTTCCAAAACGCCTGAAGGTACCACGTTCATCTGTACAAACAATAGTACGCAGCTATAAACACCATGGGACCACGCAGCCGTCATACCGCTTAGGAAGTAGACGCGTTCTGTCTCCTAGAGATGAACGTACTTTGGTGCGAAAAGTGCAAATCAATCCCAGAACAACAGCAAAGGACCTTGTGAAGATGCTGGAGGAAACAGGTACAAAATTATATACAGTGGGGAGAACAAGTATTTGATACACTGCCGATTTTCCTACTTACAAAGCATGTAGAGGTCTGTAAAAATCACATTGTATGATTTTTAAGTAATTAATTTGCATTTTATTGCATGACATAAGTATTTGATCACCTACCAACCAGTAAGAATTCCAGCTCTCACAGACCTGTTAGTTTTTCTTTAAGAAGCCCTCATGTTCTCCACTCATTACCTGTATTAACTGCACCTGTTTGAACTCGTTACCTGTATAAAAGACACCTGTCCACACACTCAATCAAACAGACTCCAACCTCTCCACCATGGCCAAGACCAGAGAGCTGTGTAAGGACATCAGGGATAAAATTGTAGACCTGCACAAGGCTGGGATGGGCTACAGGACAATAGGCAAGCAGCTTGGTGAGAAGGCAACAACTGTTGGCGCAATTATTAGAAAATGGAAGAAGTTCAAGATGACGGTCAATCACCCTCGGTCTGGGGCTCCATGCAAGATCTCACCTTGTGGGGCATCAATGATCATGAGGAAGGTGAGGGATCAGCCCAGAACTACACGGCAGGACCTGGTCAATGACCTGAAGAGAGCTGGGACCACAGTCTCAAAGAAAACCATTAGTAACACACTACGCCGTCATGGATTAAAATCCTGCAGCGCACGCAAGGTCCCCCTGCTCAAGCCAGCGCATGTCCCGTCTGAAGTTTGCCAATGACCATCTGGATGATCCAGAGGAGGAATAGGAGAAGGTCATGTGGTCTGATGAGACAAAAATAGAGTTTTTTGGTCTAAACTCCACTTGCCGTGTTTGGAGGAAGAAGAAGGATGAGTACAACCCCAAGAACACCATCCCAACCGTGAAGCATGGAGGTGGAAACATCATTCTTTGGGGATGCTTTTCTGCAAAGGGGACAGGACGACTGCACCATGTTGAGGGGAGGATGGATGGGGCCATGTATCGCAAGATCTTGGCCAACAACCTCCTTCCCTCAGTAAGAGCATTGAAGGTGGGTCGGGGCTGGGTCTTCCAGCATGACAACGACCCGAAACACACAGCCAGGGCAACTAAGGAGTGGCTCCGTAAGAAGCATCTCAAGGTCCTGGAGTGGCCTAGCCAGTCTCCAGACCTGAACCCAATAGAAAATCTTTGGAGGGAGCTGAAAGTCCGTATTGCCCAGCGACAGCCCCGAAACCTGAAGGATCTGGAGAAGGTCTGTATGGAGGAGTGGGCCAAAATCCCTGCTGCAGTGTGTGCAAACCTGGTCAAGACCTACAGGAAACGTATGATCTCTGTAATTGCAAACAAAGGTTTCTGTACCAAATATTAAGTTCTGCTTTTCTGATGTATCAAATACTTATGTCATGCAGTAAAATGCAAATTAATTACTTAAAAATCATACAATGTGATTTTCTCTCACAGTTGAAGTGTACCTATGATAAAACTTACAGACCTCTACATGCTTTGTAAGTAGGAAAACCTGCAAAATCGGCAGTGTATCAAATACTTGTTCTCCCCACTGTATATCCACAGTAAAATGAGTTCTATATCAACATCAAGCCTGAAAGGCTGCTCAGCAAGGAAGAAGCCACTGCTCCAAAACCGCCATAAAAAAGCCAGACTACGGTTTGCAACTGCACATGGGGACAAAGATCGTACCTTTTGGAGAAATGTATTTTGGTCTGATGAAACAAAAATAGAACTGTTTGGCCATAATGACCATCGTTATGTTTGGAGGAAAAAGGGGATAGCTTGCAAATCCAAGAACACCATCCCAACCGTGAAGCACGGGGGTGGCAGCATCATGCTGTGGGGATGCTTTGCTGCAGGAGGGACTGGTGCACTTCACAAAATAGATGGTATCATGAGGAAGGAAAATTATGTGAATATATTAAAGAAACATCTCAAGACATCAGTCAGGAAGTTAAAGCTTGGTTGCAAATGGGTCTTCCAAATGGACAATGACCCCAAGCACACTTCCAAAGTTGTGGCAAAATGGCTTAAGGACAACAAAGTCAAGGGATTGGAGTGGCCATCACAAAGCCCTGACCTCAATCCTATAGAAAATTTGTGGGCAGAACTGAAAAAGCGTGTGCGAGCAAGGAGGCCTACAAACCTGACTCAGTTACACCAGCTCTGTCAGGAGGAATGGCCCAAAATTCACCCAACTTATTGTGGGAAGCTTGTGGAAGGCTACCCGAAACGTTTGACCCAAGTTAAACAATTTAAAGGCAATACTACCAAATACTAATTGAGTGTATGTAAACTTCTGACCCACTGGGAATGTGATGAAAGAAAGAAAAGCTGAAAAAAATCACTCTCTACTATTATTCTGACATTTCACATTCTTAAAATAAAGTGGTGATCCTAACTGACCTAAGACAGGGAATTTTTACCAGGATTAAATGTCAGGAATTGTTAAAAACTGAGTTTAAATGTATTTGGCTAAGGTGTATGTAAACTTCAGACTTCAACTGTATGTGTGTTTGTGCGTGATGTATTAAAGTGAGTGTGGAAGAAAAAAACATGTTTGAGTGTTGTATGAGCGGGTGATATATTCACTGGTTCATGTGTGTAAAAAAGAGAGGGAAGAGAAGGGGAGCATAGGATGTGTTCAAGGAAGAGATGGGGGACTGTGACCATCTGCACTGATGTTGTACATCTCTGTTCCACAAAGAGCTGCAGACAAACACTGCTGTAACCTACACAAATCACACCACTGGGCCTGACCTGCCTGAGCAATGTGGACAATATCAGCAGCACACGGACTAGCTAAACCACTGATGGCCTGGACAGCCTTTCACAGAGGAACCTGTCCTGCTTTACATGGGACTCTAACAAAACCGGGTCATGTTTACTAGTGCACAACATTTCAGATAGTACCTGCCGGTTTCGGCCCGTTTGCTTCAGTGTCATGCCTAATGAATAAAACCCAGGATACACACAGCCAGGTTGAGGAAACAGTCAATAATAGTAAAGAGGAGGTATCATGACATTCCACAACAATAGGACAACTGAGACTCTCCACTGTCAACTTCAGATTCCTGATTTTCAAGTCAACTGTGACTAAATACGAGTCTGCATTCCTGTTGCCTCACGGCACCTCCCGGCGCCTCACAGTGAGTTAGGCATGGGCTTGTCAGTGATTTTGTCAGTGCCAGTATGAGTGGTGTGTTTATTGTTGTGGAATCAGCATTTATGACTTGATGTGATGAGGCCTGGTGATGTCAGTGAAATTATCTAGAAGGTTCCTGAAGGAATGTTCAGTGTCAGTGCTGAGGTCCTGTGTCGTCATTGGGGGTTGTCAGTGCTGAGGTCCTGTGTTGTCATTGGGGGTTGTCAGTGCTGAGGTCCTGTGTTGAGTCTTGCTGTTGTCAGTTCTGTTGTCAGTATTAAGTCTTGCTGTTGTAAGTTCTGTTGTTAGTGTTCAGTCTCACTGTTGTCAGTTCTGTTGTCAGTGTAGAGTCTTGCTGTTGTCAGTTCTGTTGTCAGTGTTGAGTCTTGCTGTTGTCAGTTCTGTTGTCAGTGTGAAGTCTTGAAGTTGTCAGTGGAGTTGTCAGTAGTATTGCCAGTGATAAGTCTTGCTATTGTGAGTAGTGTTGTCAGTGTTAGCTGCATGTGCCAGTTTCTTAGAGCTCTGGAGGCCTCCCTCGTGCTCCTCACAGCTGCTGCTAATTAAGATTTAATCCTACTGACCGTCCTGTCCCGCAGGAATAACTAACGCCATGACATCACCTCTCTTCTCTGGGAGCCTCCAGAATAGGGGAGCGCTCAGTCATTTCCACATACCTAAAAAGGACAAGGCCCCAGATATCCCAGCTAGCCAGAAGGGCTGCTACACCAAAGAGGGACTGTCCTGGATGATGATTCACTATAGTGGTTTAACTCTAATTGCTGCCCCAAGGAGAAAGACTACAGTAGCAGAGCAGCAGAGCAAGATGGAGAGAGCTGCTCAAAACTGCAGAAGAGAATTGCAGTGCAAGAGGCTCCGATTATATATATATTTATTTTTCTCTCTCTCTCTCTCTCTCTCTCTCGCAATTCAATTTCAATTTAAGGGCTTTATTGGCATGGGAAATGTATGTTAACATTGCCAAAGCAAGTGAAGTAGATAGGAAACAAAAGTGAAATAAACAATAAATATTAACAGTAAACATTACACTCAGAAATTCCAAAAGAATAAAGACATTTAAAATGTCATAGTATGTATATATACAGTGTTGTAACAATGTGCAAATAGTTAAAGTACAAATGGGAAAATAAATAAACATAAATATGGGTTGTATTTACAATGGTGTTTGTTCGTCACTGGTTGCCCTTTTCTTGTGGCAACAGGTCACAAATCTTGCTGCTGTGATGGCACACTGTGGTTTTTTACCCAGTAGATAAGGGAGTTTTGTTTTCAAATTCTTTGTGGATCTCTGTAATCTGAGGGAAATATATGTCTCTAACATGGTCATACATTTGGCAGGAGGTTAGAAAGTGCAGCTCAGTTTCCACCACATTTTGTGGGCAGTGTGCACATAACCTGTCTTCTCTTAAGAGCCAGGTCTGCCTACGGCGGCCTTTCTCATTAGCAAGGCTATGCTCACTGAGTCTGTACATAGTCAAAGCTTTCCTTAAGTTTGGGTCAGTCACAGTGGTCAGGTATTCTGCCACTGTGTACTCTCTGTTTAGAGCCAAATAGCATTCTAGTTTGCTCTGATTTTTTGTTAATTCTTTCCAATGTGTCAAGTAATTCTCTTTTTGTTTTCTCATGATTTGGTTGGGTCTAATTGTGTTGTTGTTGTTGTCCTAGGGCTCTGTGGGGTCTGTTTGTGTTTGTGAACAGAGCCCCAGGACCAGCTTACTTAGGGGACTCTTCTCCAAATTCATCTCTTTGTAGGTGTACTTTTTCTGGAACACCATTCTCTCTCTCTCTCTCTCTCTCTCTCTCTCTCTCTCTCTCTCTCTCTCTCTCTCTCTCTCTCTCTCTCTCTCTCTCTCTCTCTCTCTCTCTCTCTCTCTCTCATCCTCACACGATGTGGCTTTCTTTAACACATGCAATTTTACGCACCACTTCACATTTAGCAAGCTCTCTGCGGAACAGTGAACTGTGCAAACATTTTTTTCTTTCTTTCTTCCCCTCCCTTTCCCTCACTGTAGGAAAGCAATATGATTGGGGTGCTGTATGTGGGAGAGAGAGGGAGGGATGGAGGGATAGAGGGATTTCTAATCATATGTCTTTCTTTTTACTCTGAAGGAAATACTCCTAACATTCAAGAGTATGCCAGAGGTAATGCTCAGCCAATTTGTTGTCAGCCCTGCAGAATCTTGCAGGATCCCAGGCAAGATATGACACGATGTGCCGGTTCAAATGATGTGCTGGGGATTTCACCGGATCACATGCTGACTTGACCTGCTTCAGTCTGACAGAGATTCATGGCAGGGGTCTGGCTAGCAGCCAAGCAGGTCGACCATAAGTGTAACAGGCCTCTGGACTTCTTTCTTTCTCCCTGTCCTTCCCCCTCTCACTCTTTTTATCCCGTTTCCCTCTCCCTTGCTCCCTCCCTCTCTCCCTTGCCATCTCCCCCTCCCCAACCATCCCTGCATTTCCTCACTGGATGTAGTAAACATCCCTATCAGGCGACCCATGGGAACCCAGAGGATACACACACAAACACACACACCCCACTGCCCATGTACCATCCCAGACTCCCCGTAGCATGGCGTGCCTCTACTCAGCCCTGTCGCCCCTGCCCCTCTCCATCCATTGTTAGCCGTTGGTAAAGGATGGACAGCAGACAGAGACAAAACTAGGTTAGCCACAGAATGAGACGGGAACTCAAGGGGATAGCACAACAATACAATGTTTCAATCCAATCTAAAAAACAACCTTGACATGTATTGTCATATATTTTTTACACCCAAGTATGACATTCATTGTTATTGTATGGTTTGTATACAACTGTAAGTAGTTCCTTCCAAGACAAGGGTGTCTAGTGTCTACCCCACAAAAGAAATGTAAGAATGAATGAAATATTACCACAATGGGTCCCCAATAGCCAACCTCACAGGATATAGAGTAATTATGATGTACAGCAATAACCTCAGAGACTAACCACTATGCCATTTCAGAAGCCATGTATTGTCTTGTTTGTTCTTGTGTTTTTTGATGACAGACACTTAGACAGAGAGAGAGGAAGTACGGATGGCAGGATGTGGGTTAAGGGTACTACTTCCTGTGCCCTCGCCATTCCACCTCAACATGGTGTAGGCAGATAAACTCCCAATGTCAGAACACAGAGACCTCTGTTGACAAATGGGACAGTTCCTCTGCTCTGCTCTCCACAAGGAAACAGAAGGAGGTTCCATGGTTGATGAAAAAGGCCTGATTCCTCTCCACCTGTCAGAGCTGAGCTTGTAAATGGGCAGAAAACCCCACAGTTATCCGACCGGTAACCGCAACAGGCTTTTAATAGTAAGGGCTTCCCTTCTGTTCCTAGTGCAGCCCATTCCACATCCCACTGACGCTGTAAATGGTGCGGCTAGCAGGCTAACAATGTGCTTAAAGACCAGGCTCCAGATGCAGAGGGTGAAGTTACACCGCAGTCTGATAAGCAGAGAAAATAATAAGAAGAAGAAGAAGATGAAACTAGTGTGCGTACTTTTAAAGGGGTTGAGAGTTGTTGGACTGGGCTCAACTCTACCCCTTGGTCGTAAGTATGGAAAGTAGGGATGTGTACAGTTATTTGAATATTTGAATATCTGAACAGATGTTAGTATTTGCATTTTTGTGTGAGCATTCTTTTTAGCAAGATTTTTTTTTTAGCCCTAATATAGGCCTATTTTAACACTGAAAAGGCTTTTTCTAAATTAAATTAAAATATCCATGTGACATTGTTACATACAAGGATATACCATGGCATTTCAAATGATTAATTTCATACAACAAACTTTTCAATGTAGTTTTATGATGTGCACGGTGCACACCATAAAAAAGACCGGTAGCCGATTGGCGTGTAGCTTGTTGTTTATGTTGGCCAATCAACGCGGCAAAGAGGCTCAATGTGTAGCAAATGAAGTGAGAGTTCACTAATGCAATGCAAGATGGAATAAAATTACGGAATTCAAAGTTAGCAAAATGAGAAGGAGTAGGCTACAACGAGCAACCAACAGGTACGCTGTTGTTTTATCTGAATGTGGTTGGGGAGAAAGCCCAGCATATGGCCTCATTTAGCCTAGCTAGCTATAGCTGGCTAGCTTAGCTAGCTAGCTATAGCTGGCTAGCTTAGCTAGCTAGCTAGCTTCTCTAGGGTACTCCAGTCAAGACAGGTAATGCTATATGGGATGATAAATAACATTGTGGCTGCTACAAGTTAGCTAGTCTTGGCTCTCCGTCCGTCTGCTCGCTACACACACCACCCAATATAACCACAGCCAGCTGCAGCAATAGAGTGCCAGCCTCTCCCTCGTGCAGCAGAACTCAGGTTAAAAACGTAGCTATGTAAAAAAATATATATATATTTCGAATATCCAGATATCAGACAAAAATGTTCGATTCTATTCGAATAGTGAAATTATTTCAAACCCCCATCCCTAATGGAAAGAGTAACCTTGAGAGCAGTGGAGAAGAGAAGAGGTGAGAAGAGGAACAGAACAAGGGAGAATAGAGCACAACTGAGAATAGCAAGAGAATGGAAGAGAAGACAAGAGAAGGAGAGGAAGATGAATGGGTGAGAGAGAGAAGCAGAGAAGTAAACGATCCCTATTCAACCCATCTGGAACGATGGATCACACTCCTCCACACTCCAGGCCTGTATTCCCCTCCTCCTTGCAGGGAGAGACTCCTGCATGTGCTTCTCCTCACTCATCCCAATCTGCTACCAATTACCCTCCTGGCTCCATTCACCACAGCCAATGCCAGCTAATCCCAAAGCTAGCTACAACTCTGGGCCTCGTCGCAATGGCTGGTGTGTTTACGGACGCCCAGTGTGCTGTCCCCACCAGAGCATATGAGCGGAGTGGAGCGGGAGCGAGCGTGGAGCGTGAGCGGACGGATTTTGAACAGAGCGCAGAGCGGCATTTTTAAAAGGACGGAGCGTCGCCCTATGTCCCGCTCCAATTTCGCTCGCTCACACCACGAGTCTGAAGCATGCTCAAGCCTGACCCAGAATCCATCTGTTTAATTTAATTTGTGTCGTCCATGAATTTGTATTTTATAGAGCGAGAGGAGCAGCAGCAGCAACAAGAGAAAAGGGTTGAGGAATTCAAAAGTTTATTCACTGCACGCAAAGGCCCAACCATAACAAGGGAGAGAAAAAGAGAGCTGGATGTAGCATTTTTTGAAATGATTTTCATGGACTATGAACCGCTGAGTAAAGGAGAATGCGAAGGGATGCAACACTTCGCCAGCGCAGCTCAACCGGGCTACACTCCCCCAAGAAACTATGATAAATCAGTACTTTACTTTGTCAAATTTACATCTGAGATGCCCCATTCACATGCTTCAGCTGGCGATCAAAAACGCCGTTAACAAGCACGACAACATTAATAGGCTGTTAGTGAAAGTCGGGCACCTGGTGAAAAGTGTACGCAAGAGCACAGAGGAAACCGAACAATTAGGTGTCCGCCCCACAAATGCCTGTACCATTCGATGGAGCAGCCAGCTGCGGATGATTCAGTCGTTCATCCGGTTGTTCCAAAAAGACCCGTTATGGTAAAACAAACTCAAGTCTAATGTTGCTAACATCACCCTGAATCAAGTACGGCAGCTGACGCACCTTGTCAGTGTGCTGACACCACTAGCAGACCTCACAGACAAAATGCAGAAGGAGCTGGGGAACCTGGGGATGATCCTCCCTGCTGTCACAGAAATCAAATCCCTGCTCACCGATTACACTCACGCTGCACTTCCAATGGGCATCGCTGCTTTTGCAGAAACATTGGCAAACAACGTGTCAATTCGCTATGGAATATACTATACTGATTAACATCTCATTTTAGCGTCAGTGTTAGATCCCCGTTTCAAGACAGAATGGATAATCCGAGATGAGTCTGTATGCAACAAATTCGGGGAGATAAAGTAAGGCTGTGGTTTAAGCTAAAAGTGAAATACATGCAGATTTTGTTCCTTTTTTTGGCGTGAGCGGGGGGCGATTTGAGTGGAGCGCGATGCAAACTGCGTTGAGCGCTGAGCGATAATGAGCGGACTGGCCTGATGTGGCTTTGAGCGGGGGGAGCGGAGGGGTGAACAGCTCCGTGAGCGAGGAGCTGAGATTCTCACCGCTCCACTCCGCTCATATGCTCTGGTCCCCACATGCTTCAAGATGGCCAATATTGTTCCTGTACCCAAGAATGCAAAGGTAACTGAACTAAATGACTATCGCCCCGTAGCACTCACTTCTGTCATCATGAAGTGCTTCAAGAGGCTAGTCAAGGATCATATCACCTCCCCCTTACCTGTCACCCTAGACCCACTTCAATTTGCATACCACCCCAATAGGTCCACAGACGATGCAATCGCCATCACACTGCACACTGCCCTATCCCATCTGGACAAGAGGAATACCTATGTAAGAATGCTGTTCATTGACTATAGCTCAGCATTCAACACCATAGTACCCTCCAAGCTCATCATCAAGCTTGAAGCCCTGAGTCTCAACCCTGCCCTGTGCATTTGGGTCCTGGACTTCCTGATGGGCCGCCCCCAGGTGGTGAAGGTAGGAAACAACATCTCCACTTCGCTGATCGTCAACACTGGGGCCCCACAAGGGTGTGTGCTCAGCCTCCTCCTGTACTCCCTGTTCACCCATGACTGCGTAGCCATGCACGCCTCCAACTCAATCATCAAGTTTGCAGACAACACAACAGTAGTAGGCTTGATTACCAACAACGATGAGACAGCCTACAGGGCTGATGATCGTGGACTTCAGGAAACAGCAGAGGGAGTACACCCCTATCCACATCGACGGGACAGCAGTGGAGAAGGTGGAAAGTTTTAACTTCCTCTGCGTACATATCACTGACAAACTGAAATGGTCCACCCACACAGACAGTGTGGTGAAGAAGGCGCAACAGCGTCTCTTTAACCTCAGGAGGCTGAAGAAATTTGGCCTGTCACCTAAAACCCTCACAAACTTTTACAGATGCACAATTGAGAGCATCCTGTCGGGCTCTATCACCGCCTGGTACGGCAACTGCACCGCCCACAACCGCAGGGCTCTCCAGAGGGTGGTGCGGTCTGCACAACGCATCACCGGGGGCAAACTACCTGCCCTCCAGGACACCTACAGTACCCGATGTCACAGGATGGCCAAAAAGATAATCAAGGACAACTACCACCCGAGCCACTGCCTGTTCACCCCGCTATCATCCAGAAGGCGAGGACAGTACAGGTGCATCAAAGCTGGGACCGAGAGACTGAAAAATAGCTTCTATCTCAAGGCCATCAGACTGTTAAACAGCCATCACTAGCACAGAGAGGCTGCTGCCTACATACAGACTTGCAAATCACTGGCCACTTTAATAAAGGGAACACTAGTCACTTTAATAATGCCACTTTAATAATGTTTACATATCTTGCATTACCCATCTCCTATGTATATACAGTGGGGAGAACAAGTATTTGATACACTGCCGATTTTGCAGGTTTTCCTACTTACAAAGCATGTAGAGGTCTGTAATTTTTATCATAGGTAAACTTCAACTGTGAGAGATGGAATCCAGAAAATCACATTGTATGATTTTTAAGTAATTAATTTGCATTTTATTGCATGACATAAGTATTTGATCACCTACCAACCAGTAAGAATTCCGGCTCTCACAGACCTGTTCGTTTTTCTTTAAGAAGCCCACCTGTTCTCCACTCATTACCTGTATTAACTGCACCTGTTTGAACTCGTTACCTGTATAAAAGACACCTGTCCACACACTAAATCAAACAGACTCCAACCTCTCCACAATGGCCAAGACCAGAGAGCTGTGTAAGGACATCAGGGATAAAATTGTAGACCTGCACAAGGCTGGGATGGGCTACAGGACAATAGGCAAGCAGCTTGGTGAGAAGGCAACAACTGTTGGCGCAATTATTAGAAAATGGAAGAAGTTCAAGATGACGGTCAATCACCCTCGGTCTGGTGCTCCATGCAAGATCTCACCTCGTGGGGCATCAATGATCATGAGGAAGATGAGGGATCAGCCCAGAACTACACGGCAGGACCTGGTCAATGACCTGAAGAGAGCTGGGACCACAGTCTCAAAGAAAACCATTAGTAACACATTATGCCGTCATGGATTAAAATCCTGCAGCGCACGCAAGGTCCCCCTGCTCAAGCCAGCGCATGTCCAGGCCCGTCTGAAGTTTGCCAATGACCATCTGGATGATCCAGAGGAGGAATGGGACAAGGTCATGTGGTCTGATGAGACAAAAATAGAGCATTTTGGTCTAAACTCCACTCGCCGTGTTTGGAGGAAGAATAAGGATAAGTACAACCCCAAGAACACCATCCCAACCGTGAAGCATGGAGGTGGAAACATCATTCTTTGGGGATGCTTTTCTGCAAAGGGTACAGGATGACTGCACCGTATTGAGGGGAGGATGGATGGGGCCATGTATCGCGAGATCTTGGCCAACAACCTCCTTCCCTCAGTAAGAGCATTGAAGATGGGTCGTGGCTGGGTCTTCCAGCATGACAACGACCCGAAACACACAGGCAGGGCAACTAAGGAGTGGCTCCGTAAGAAGCATCTGAAGGTCCTGGAGTGGCCTAGCCAGTCTCCAGACCTGAACCCAATAGAAAATCTTTGGAGGGAGCTGAAAGTCCGTATTGCCCAGCGACAGCCCCGAAACCTGAAGGCTGTATGGAGGAGTGGGCCAAAATCCCTGCTGCAGTGTGTGCAAACCTGGTCAAGACCTACAGGAAACGTATGATCTTTGTAATTGCAAACAAAGGTTTCTGTACCAAATATTAAGTTCTGCTTTTCTGATGTATCAAATACTTATGTAATGCAATAAAATGCAAATTAATTACTTAAAAATCATACAATGTGATTTTCTGGATTTTGGATTTTTTAGATTCCGTCTCTCACAGTTGAAGTGTACATATGATAAAAATTACAGACCTCTACATGCTTTGTAAGTAGGAAAACCTGCAAAATCGGCAGTGTATCAAATACTTGTTCTCCCCACTGTACTGTATTCTATACTATCTTAATAATGTTTACATATCTTGCATTACCCATCTCATATGTATATACTGTATTCTATACTATCTATTGCATCTTCGCCTATGCCACTTTGATAATGACATTGTTCATACATATATTGATATATTCTTATTCCATTCCTTTACTTAGATTTGTGTGTATTAGGTATTTGTTGTGGAACTGTTAGATATTACTTGCTAGATATTGCTGCACTGTCGGAACTAGAAGCACAAGCATTTCGCTACACTCGCAATAACATCTGCTAACCATGTGTATGTGGCCAATAAATTTGATTTGATTTGAAATTAGAACTCAATTGATTGAACATAGCCTATATAGGCCCATGTATCCTACAGTGAAGTATTTGATCCCCTGCTGATTTTGTACGTTTGCCCACTGACAAAGAAATGATCAGTTTATAATTTTAATGGTAGGTTTATTTGAACAGTGAGAGACAGAATAACAACAAACAAATCCAGAAAAGCGCATGTCAACAATGTTATAAATTGATTTGCATTTGAATGAGGGAAATAAGTATTTGACCCCCTCTCAATCAGAAAGATTTCTGGCTCCCAGGTGTCTTTTATACAGGTAACGAGCTGAGATTAGGAGCACACTCTTAAAGGGAGTGCTCCTAATCTCAGCTTGTTACCTGTATAAAAGACACCTGTCCACAGAAGCAATCAATCAATCAGATTCCAAACTCTCCACCATGGCCAAGACCAAAGAGCTCTCCAAGGATGTCAGGGACAAGATTGTAGACCTACACAAGGCTGGAATGGGCTGCATGACCATCGCCAAGCAGCTTGGTGAGAAGGTGACAACAGTTGGTGCGATTATTCGCAAATGGAAGAAACACAAAATAACTGTCAATCTCCCTTGGCCTGGGGCTCCATGCAAGATCTCACCTCGTGGAGTTGCAATGATCATGAGAACAGTGAGGAATCAGCCCAGAACTACACGGGAGGATCTTGTCAATGATCTCAAGGCAGCTGGGACCATAGTCACCAAGAAAACAATTGGTAACACACTATGCCGTGAAGGACTGAAATCCTGTAGCGCCCGCAAGGTCCCCCTGCTCAAGAAAGCACATATACATGCCCGTCTGAAGTTTGCCAATGAACATCTGAATGATTCAGAGGAGAACTGGGTGAAAGTGTTGTGGTCAGATGAGACCAAAATCGAGCTCTTTGGCATCAACTCAACTTGCCGTGTTTGGAGGAGGAGGAATGCTGCCTATGACCCCAAGAACACCATCCCCACCGTCAAACATGGAGGTGGAAACATTATGCTTTGGGGGTGTTTTTCTGCTAAGGGGACAGGACAACTTCACCGCATCAAAGGGACGATGGACGGGGCCATGTACCGTCAAATCTTGTGTGAGACCCTCCTTCCCTCAGCCAGGGTATTGAAAATGGGTCGTGGATGGGTATTCCTGCATGTCAATGACCCAAAACACACAGCCAAGGCAACAAAGGAGTGGCTCAAGAAGAAGCACATTAAGGTCCTGGAGTGGCCTAGCCAGTCTCCAGACCTTAATCCCATAGAAAATCTGTGGAGGGAGCTGAAGGTTCGAGTTGCCAAACGTCAGCCTCGAAACCTTAATGATTTCGAGAAGATCTGCAAAGAGGAGTGGGACAAAATCCCTCCTGAGATGTGTGCAAACCTGGTGGCCAACTACAAGAAACGTCTGACCTCTCTGATTGCCAACAAGGGTTTTGCCACCAAGTACTAAGTCATGTTCTGCAGAGGGGTCAAATACGTATTTCCCTCATTAAAATGCAAATCAATTTAGAACATTTTTTAGAACAAATTAGAGCGTTTTTCTGCATTTTTTTGTTGTTATTCTGTCTCTCACTGTTCAAATAAACCTACCATTAAAATTATAGACTGATTATTTCTTTGTCAGTGGGCAAACGTACAAAATCAGCAGGGGATCAAATACTTTTTTCCCTCACTGTATGTGCTGTATATTTTAATGCAGTCATCTCGGTTTTCATTTGATCATTTTTTATCCTTTATTGTAACGATTGCAAATACTTTGACAACTTTGTATTTGTAGTCAACTTAGTTCTGAAGTTATCGGCAGTCAGACAGATACACTCTTAGAAAAAAAGCTGCTATCTAGAACCTTGTGCTTCTACATCTACATTGCTTGCTCTTTGGGGTTTTAGGCTGGGTTTCTGTACAAGCCCTTTGTGACATCTGCTGATGTAAGAAGGGCTTTATAAATACATTTGATTGATTTGATTGATTGATTGGTTCATCATCTGTCCCCATAGAATAACCATTTGAAGAACCCTTTTGGTTCCAGCTACAACCCTTTTAGGTTCCATGTAGAACCATTTCTACAGAGGGTTCTATGTAGAACCAAAAAGGGTTTTCCTATGGGGACAACTGAAGAACCCTTTAGGAACCCTTTCTTTCTAAGAGTGTAGATCTGCAAAGATTTTTAAGAGCCACGTTACTAACGAAGACTCTGAGAAACAGCTCGGCTACTAAAGATACATTGTAAGAAGGTTCTAACGATGAGCTTAACGCTACGAAGGCTCTGGGAAATGAGTTCCTGGTCTATATTAAATGATCTAAGCTTGCTCTACTGAATAGCCTACGGCTACAACTCTAGCATTCTTTAGTGGATCCGAGCTTTCTTTCTAAATACATCTAGCTACAACTTCGGCATGCATAAGCTCATCCAAACCTGCAGTGCTTTCTTAATAAAGCTACAACTTTTGTCTGACGCTGCATTAGCTCATCCAAGCCTGCTCTTGTGTTCACTGCATCAGACCTACTCAAGAGTTGTCTTTTCTAGGTGCACAACATCCATCAGAAAGTATTGCGCAACACAATGCTTCACTGTGAATCCATCAAGCTATAATGTAAGTAAAAGTGCAAAGTGCATAGGGCTGTAATAAATCACCCAGTGACAGATTAAGTCAGGCCATTAACTAGAGGGCTTGCCAAATAAAAGCAGCATGGGAAGTTATGGAAGTGCTCCTGGCTGTGTTTCCTGTGTGGAGCTGAGGCTGTGGATACAGGTTTCACAAGGTGAGGGATACGCTATGCAGAAACAGGTAAGAAAATATGCAACTCACACACACCTGATGAAGCTAGATTAGGTTTCACCCTGCCCTCAACCACAATGAGAGTGGGTGAGAAACTGCTTGTACCTATTGTTGGAACACCCAAACGGCTCCACAAAGGAAATGTGCTATTCAATACTCTAACCCAAGATCAAACAGCTGATGGAAAAACAAGTTTTATTTACAATGAACTGTTGTCTCTTGAAATGAGTTGTGTTACTTCGAAACTAGAACACTACTGACATAAACCCCTTGCTGCTAGTTCTCACTACAGCAGATCCATTAGACCTCATATAGTCCTGCACATCCCTTCAACAGTGTATATAGTGCATTGGCACTTCTTCACTTATTCTCTGGTCCAGGATCAGTTTTCTCCTCCTAGCCACAGTCTCTCCCAGATGAGCTCGCTGACAAATTCTCCTTCTCTTCCTGTTTTCGCCCACATTTCTGGGGTTCCGCCTGAGAATTCCCAGCAGAGTTCGCGATCCCATCCCATTCCGCACGCCTGTGCAGAACCGATTTTTATAATTCCCTCGCTGCTCCCAGAGGACTGGTGCGAGGTGAGAGCTTGGGAAAATGGTCTTCTGGAGACAAAACACCGCAGAGCAGATGATTTTGACCCCTACACACCCAAAGACCGGCAACTGTGAGCCTAAGCTAAGAGAGAACTCAAGAGAGACAAAACCTAAATGAAATACAACACAGAGTGTAAGCCAGAAGAGAACTCAAAGAAAACTGAAACAAAAGAGTTGTGCAGCAGGTAGTGTGATATTGTTGGAGACAGACAGACACTGCAAGCGATCAAAGGCATGATCAAAGGTGCCAATCTGCAGTGTGTGTCTACTGGCTAGACTACTAAAGCCATGCTCATTAAGGTGTTACACCCGGGTGAATCTCCAGACATTCTTTGAATTCTCATCAAACAGTGGGCCTGTAATTGTCAGCAGCATTCTTTTCTACAGTTTCTGTTTTCTATTTTAATTTTTTTAAAATAGAAGCTTTACATTATAATTGGATTGTGAGGATTCAATCTTTTAACTTAAATATAGGAATGGAAGGTGCCACGAATTGTGTCAAACATAATAACTTAAGATGCCCCCTATTCTCCAAACAAGATGGTATATTCCATTAATTGTAGTAGTTGGAACAACTGAGAGCTGAGTAGGCTACATATTTTTTATTATACACGGAATAAGGAAAACAACATGCTCTGTAACATTTTCCACCTTCAATGTGAGCACAGCGCAGAGCATGGCCACAGCAGCCTAAGTCAACAAGCTGTGTCCTCGGTGTAGCCACATGAGAACGACCCTCTGGGTAGAGTTGCCAGCTCTGCTTCCAAACACACACATTCCTTCCAAACAAGAACGTGCCCAATACTCTAATTCTCCCTCTATGGCGGTGGTGGCGAAAGGGACTGAAGCCCAGGAAAAAGAAAGTGTGTGTGTGTGTCCGTGCATGTGTGTGTGAGACACTGCCAGTGGACACACAGGCTGCAGAGTTGCCCAGAGCCAGCCAACAACATTGGGGTTTGGATGGGCCACATCATGACTGGTTAGCTCTTCTACCCCACATCTAAGTGGGCGCCGTACAGGCTTAGTTGACTCTGCCTTCTTTCCCCTGGTAGGCTACGCTACACTACTATAATGTACTGTAGTTACTCTATGCAAACAAACCAGCAGGGAAGGGATATTTGCTGTCATGTCTTGTTAAATGATCTAATTGAAATCACAGCACCAGTTTCCCCACAGCCACATTCAGTCTTCCTCTTGCTGCACGTTTTAACACAGCGCTGAGGCACTGAGTCGCTGTGGAACTTAACATGTCCTGACAGTATTTTGATATGGTCTTGGATGGTGTGCGTGCATGCCTGAATGCATGAATGTGTATGGTGAGTGTGGACTACAGAATAAGCATTAGTGTGATAATGACTGAAGCTTTGGGCTATCCCTACCTCTCAGACAATACACCAGAGAACATCAGGAATTCCTTCACTAACACCGCAGGACACATTCTGACTGTGTAGCCATGGTAACCACAGCAGCTTGTCCATGGCAGCAGCCTGTGGGCCCCAGTAGGGTCGTCGGCCACAGGGGGTGCCCTGCAGAGTGCCTGTCAAAGGCTGGTTCCTGTAAGAGGGTGGAGATATGGCCGTGTTCTCCTCAGAGACCTGCTGTCAATGTTCTAAACTCAGAATAATGGACTTCTGGTGAGAGGGGACACGTCACACACAAACACACACACTATAAATGCATCTCATAACCCTACTGCTTGCGAAGAGACAGCTTGCTCTGTCATTGAGCAAATGGCGCAGCGAGTCTAAGGCACTGCATCTCAGTGCTCGATTCCAGGCTGTATCACAACTGGCCGGTGTAGGCCGTCATTGTAAATAAGAATTTGTTCTTAACTGACTTGCCTAGTTAAATAAAGGTTTAAAAAAAAAATGAAATCCCAGTGGGCACCGATGATAACAATTTATGGCTTCTGGCCCAGCACACATGTGATTCACTGAGATCCATTTATCCAATACAAGGTGGTTTCACAAACCAGGATTAAATTGTGACATATGACACAGTTAACATGATATTAAACATCTGTCCTTTGAGTTCCCTGAAAAATAGGTTTACAATGTCGCTGCATACTGAGAAAACATTCTCCAAACATCTACTGGGATTTAAGACTGCACAAGCTCTTTTGGTTTTATGTGTGTGTGTGTATGTGTCTGTGTGTGTGTATGCATGAGTATATCTGTGTGAGTGTGTGTGAATGATTGAGTAAATGTCTGGCTGGGAAAACCCAAATCTACAAAGCGAAGCATCGAGCAGCATTGCACCACATAGTAGTCATGCTGCTATTCTTTCTCGCCACTCCAGAGAATGTTAACAGCCCTTCCAATCAAACAGCCGTTGGCGCAGTGTGTCTGATAACAACAAATAAGATGTTCTTGCTCCCCAACAGTCCTGACTTACTACAGGATTATAGGTCATTTAGTACCATGTCCTCTTTAACTCAGTTGGTAGAGCATGGAACTTGTAACGCCAGGATAGTGGGTTTGATTCCCGGGACCCATACTTAAAATGTATGCATGCGTGGCTGTATGTCGCTTTGGATAAAAGCTTCTGCTAAATAACAAATTATATGTACTATTTTACAAACCAAAACAGAGAAACAGACCATCTCTCACTAATGGTCTACAGCACTTCTCACCACAGAACTGAAGGTACCCTTGAAACAATACAAGAGAGCCCTGCAGTACAGAACTCCTGGTCCAATTAACTAAAGAGCTCATCAAGATCTTAGAAATATCAAACTAGCTATCATCACTACAAAAGAGCAACGCACTGGGCACACACTGGTTTAATCAACGTGAACTAGACGTTGAATTGTCTTCTGTGCCCAGTGGGAAGACTCATGACATGTCTGATGGAACTCCAGTTGTGAATGTTCCACAAAAATTATGTTGTTTATGAAGGAACATAGAAAAGCAAATGGAACATTGCGCAGTAGGAGTCAGTGAGGACCTGGAGGAGGTCAAAACCTAATTGAATTTAAGATTATGATTGATAGCTATCTTTTAAGTCCTGTAAGAACTCTGGAGAGGTTCCTGGTAAACTGTACGGCATGACATCACATAGAGCTTTCTTTGTCTCTCGTACAACTTTCAAAGCAAGACGTTTTTCGTCGACTTTTCTTTATACACTGCTCAAAAAATTAAGGGAACACTAAAATAACACATCCTAGATCTGAATGAATGAAATAATCTTATTAAATACTTTTTTCTTTACATAGTTGAATGTGCTGACAACAAAATCACACAAAAATGTTCAATGGAAATCAAATGTATCAACCCATGGAGGTCTGGATTTGGATCCAAATTTGATGTAATGTCCTTAAAACAAGTCAAAATGAGGCTCAGTAGTGTGTGTGGCCTCCACGTGCCTGTATGACCTCCCTACAATGCCTGGGCATGCTCCTGATGAGGTGGCGGATGGTCTCCTGAGGGATCTCCTCCCAGACCTGGACTAAAGCATCCGCCAACTCCTGGACAGTCTGTGGTGCAACGTGGCGTTGGTGGATGGAGCGAGACATGATGTCCCAGATGTGCTTAATTGGATTCAGGTCTGGGGAACGGGCGGTCCATAGCATCAATGCCTTCCTCTTGCAGGAACTGCTGACACACTCCAGCCACGTGAGGTCTAGCATTGTCTTGCATTAGGAGGAACCCAGGGCCAACCGCACCAGCATATGGTCTCACAAGGGGTCTGAGGATCTCATCTCGGTACCTAATGGCAGTCAGGCTACCTCTGGCGAGCACATGGAGGGCTGTGCGGCCCCCCAAAGAAATGCCACCCCACACCATGACTGACCCACCGCCAAACCGGTCATGCTGGAGGATGTTGCAGGCAGCAGAACGTTCTCCACGGCGTCTCCAGACTCTGTCACGTCTGTCACGTGCTCAGTGTGAACCTGCTTTCATCTGTGAAGAGCACAGGGCGCCAGTGGCGAATTTGCCAATCTTGGTGTTTACATTTACATTTACGTCATTTAGCAGACGCTCTTATCCAGAGCGACTTGCAAAGTGTTCTCTGGCAAATGCCAAACGTCCTGCACGGTGTTGGGCTGTAAGCACAACCCCCACCTGTGGACGTCGGGCCCTCATACCACCCTCATGGAGTCTGTTTCTGACCGTTTGAGCAGACACATGCACATTTGTAGCCTGCTGGAGGTCATTTTGCATGGCTCTGGCAGTGCTCCTCCTGCTCCTCCTTGCACAAAGGCGGAGGTAGCAGTCCTGCTACTGGGTTGTTGCCCTCCTACGGCCTCCTCCACGTCTCCTGATGTACTGGCCTGTCTCCTGGTAGCGCCTCCATGCTCTGGACACTACTCTGACAGACACAGCAAACCTTCTTGCCACAGCTCGCATTGATGTGCCATCCTGGATGAGCTGCACTACCTGAGCCACTTGTGTGGGTTGTAGACTCCGTCTCATGCTACCACTAGAGTGAAAGCACCGCCAGCATTCAAAAGTGACCAAAACATCAGCCAGGAAGCATAGGAACTGAGAAGTGGTCTGTGGTCACCACCTGCAAAACCAGTCCTTTATTGGGGGTGTCTTGCTAATTGCCTATAATTTCCACCTGTTGTCTATTCCATTTGCACAATAGCATGTGAAATTTATTGTCAATCAGTGTTGCTTCCTAAGTGGACAGTTTGATTTCACAGAAGTGTGATTGACTTGGAGTTACATTGTGTTGTTTAAGTGTTCCCTTTATTTTTTTTAGCAGTGTATATGAAAGGTATTGCCAGCGACAAACCCTATACTTTTATTTCCACCAACCGACTTAGTTATGATTGCGGTAAAGGTCGGGCACTGACGTTGGGCGATTAGGCCTGGCTCGCAGTCGGTGTTCCAATTCAACCCAAAGGTTTTTGATGGAGTTGAGGTCAGGGTTCTGTGCAGGCCATCAAGTTCTTCCACACCGATCTCGACAAACCATTTCTGTATGGACCTTGCTTTGCTTTGTGAAAGGGGGCATTGTCATGCTTAAACATGAAAGGCCTTCCCCAAATTGTTGCCACAAAGTTGGAAGCACAGAATCGTCTAGAATGTCATTGTATGCTGTAGCGTTAAAATGTCCCTTCACTGGAACTAAGGGGCCTAGCCCGAACCACAAAAAACTGCCCCAGACCATTATTCCTCCTCCACCAAACATTACAGTTGGCCCTATGCATTGGGGCAGGTAGCGTTGTCCTGGCATCCGCCAAACCCAGATTCGTCCATCAGACTGCCAGATGGTGAAGCGTGATTCATCACTCCAGAGAACGCGTTCCCACCGATCCAGATTCCAATGGTGGCAAGCTTTACACCACTCCAGCGGATGCTTGGCATTGAGCATGGTGATCTTAGGCTTGTGTGTGGCTGCTCGGTCATGGAAACCCATTTCATGAAGCTACCGACGAACAGTTCTTGTGCTGACTTTGCCTCCAGAGGCCGTTTGGAACTCGGTAGTGAGTGTCGTAAACGAGGACAGACAATTTTTACATGCTACGCGCTTCAGCACTCGGCGGTCCCGTTCTGTGAGCTTGTGTGCCTACCACTTCGTGGCTGAGCCGTTGTTGCTCCTAGACATTTCCACTTCACAATAACAACACCTCCAGTTGACCGGGGCAGCTCTAGCAGGGCAGAAATTTGACGAACTGACTTGTTGGAAAGGTGGCATCCTATGACGGTGCCATGTTGAAAGTCACTGAGCTCTTTAGTAAGGCCATTCTACTGCCAATGTTTGTCTATGGAGATTGCATGGCTGTGTGCTCGATTTTATACACCTGTCAGCAACGGGTGTGGCTGAAATAGCCTAATCCACTAATTTGAAGGGGTGTCCACATACTTTTGTATATATAGTGTAGATGTCGACCCACATCGGCTTTCCTAGAGAGAACCTCTCTATCTCTAGTGCTATCTCGGCCTCGATCTCTCTCTCTCTCTCATCTCTCTCTCTCTCCTCTCCTCTCTCCATCTCGCTCTCTCTCTCTCTCTCTCTCCTCGTCTCTCTCTCTCTCTCTCTCTCTCTCTATCCTCTCTCTCGTCTCTCCTCCTCTCTCCTCTCTCTCTCTCTCTCTCTCTCTCCTGTAGATGAGCACTAACAACCATTGAAACTATTGTTCTGCATCTTTGTTAGCAGGCTGGTATATACAGTACACTCTATGATTGTCTTCCTACGTATTCTAACATGGTTCTGTATAATGGACTTGGTGCAGCAGAATGATTTTCAGAGCAGACCGTAATGGAATATTGCTCAAATAAACAGAGGTCTGAAGTATCTTCAGATATGCCAGGGAATATGCTAGGGAACATGTATGCCAAACATAAACCATTAATTTCAAAGTTTAACAAACCATAAAAGTACTCCTTGTGCATAGAGATGTAACAATTTACACTGAACAATTTATAAAAACACATTTACTGTAATAACTGTGACCACGTTTTCCAAAAACTCTGTTAAATATTAAGACATAAAAAAATTAAAAAATAAAATAAAGATATTTTATTATTGTACACACTGGCTATTATTTTTATAATACCAGACCAAATCTGAACCAATCATACTGTTGACGTCTATGTTTCAAA